TTCTTTTGATTCTAGCTCATCACAGTTCCTTAACAAATTATTGTTTCCAAATGCCTCTGATCTATGCACATTGTTATCATCTATGGTTGAAATATAATTAAGAAAGCTTAATTGTATAATAAATGGAAAATATAAAGGAAAACACTTCATTATATATTACAGTACTCTACAAAAAATTAAGTTGATGTTATGCAACCAAGAATTCTGCGACAAAAAACATAATTTGGTAGCTAAATATCACTACTTTATATGAAAGAGATATATAGTAACATTGTTTGGCCTTTTATGGTATACTGTTTGCCTTTAGTGAAGGACGGAGGGTGATTTTGTTCAGTTGACATTGGCCGTCTAATCATCTGAATAGTTAAGGCGATATATATAGCAGTACATTACCCATGGAACATATTATTGCTATACAAGAAAAGTCTGTTTTGAACTTTTAAAAAAAAAAAAAAAAAGTTTAGGGGAAAAAATTTTCAAAGTCTAGCTGCTCGCCGTTTTTTTCTGGGAATTTACTATTTTAATTATAATTAAAGAGTGATTGTGATCTTAAATTATATTGTATAGTTTTCTTGTCCATCTATCTGCTGTCCAATTTTTAGTGTCTTAATTGATATCTAATCAATCAAATCATGTTAAATGGTGTAAAAAATTTAGATTGCTTTTTAACTAATTCTTTTATACTTATAATATGCGTCCAATTTTTGGTGTCTTAATTGATATCTAATCAATCAAATCATGTTAAATGGAGTAAAAAATTTAGATTGCTTTTTAACTAATTCTTTTATACTTATAATATGATGATTTAGTATGATTTAATTGGCTAGACACCATGATACTAAAAATTAGACATCAGATTTGAATTCGTGGTGGACAAAATAGCTGTGTGTTGCGCCTAATTGGGGTCCTCAAACTTTTGATTCGTTTCAGGGATCAAAATGATAAAAAAAAAATAAAAAGATTTAGATACTCATTCATTCAAATTAAACTCTTAATCGATTAAAGTGACATAATGATCATAATTCAAAAACTAAGAACAACTCAAACCATACTAACTTTTTCATGTTTTTAGCTAAAATAGCTAATGATTTAGCTAGAATTTAGCTTTCCTCAACTCCAACCATTAGCTAAATCGTTAGGTATTTTAGAAAATCCTTTTCACACTAGTTAAATATAGCTAGCAAGAAGTGGCTAGCTATTTAATTTTTTATATTATTTTATTGTTTCAAACCATAATAAATGCAAAGGTTCTTTTCAAATTCAATAAATTATTTATATTTTTAAAATCAATAAATATTAAAATAATCTATACTTGGCTAAAATAATGAGTATGGTTGGAGTGTATCACTCAAAAGTTGCTAGTTAAAATAACTTTCTAACCATTTTAGTTAAAATTTAGAGAGTTATCTTGAAGATGCTCTAACAATACTTACAACCTTTTTTAATATTTGTGAGTAAAGAAAAATTTATTCATTTCTCTCTCTTTAATTATCATTATTTTTTTTTCGCTAAGAAATAGTCTATTCGTCTGCATATCACACTTTTATGGCCACAAACCTGCTTCCAAGTGTTGAAATGAAATTCAACAGAAATATAATCGAATATTGAATGGAAATGGAACTGTAATCCACACAAAAATATGAAAATTAATACAACATCTGCACTACATAAACTTCGAGTTACATCCAAATAAAAGCATGCATGCATGTACTTGCTGTATACATCTAAAATCAAAAGTAATTAAGAAAGCATACATATAAGACGTACGTCCTCAAAAAATATCATGGCCTACAAAAATATGCCAAATATACGTCCAAAAATCACCCAAGTTTCAGATCAACCCTCACAATAAAAATAAATAAATAAATAAAACAAAAAAAAATAAAAAAGTTTCAGATCCTTGATTGTTAAGGTCTGAAACTTGGGTGAGTTGAGTAGCCAATGGTTGGCCCATCTACTTCAGAAGGAGCGTTGAATGGGCCTACTCAGGCATCAATTCTTGGCCTCTTAACACGACTAATAACCTTGAGATTGTATTCGTTGAGATCCATGATAAAAACAGAACACCAAAAAACAAAAAAACAAAACAAAACAAAATGTGCGTTAGGAATTGGTTGCAAAACGTTTTTGTTTTCTGTATGAAAATGGAAATGAAAACATTTTTATTTTTATATTTGAATTATTTCTGAAAATGCGTTTGGTAGTTCTATTCAGAGATTGATTTCAGTTTTAAAAAAAAACTAAAACTGAGTTTGGTGGTTTCATTTTTGAAAACATGTAATAGTATTTAATATATTAAATAAATAATAATTGAATCCCAAATAAAAACACTAATAATTAATAAAATATGGAAATTACATAAAATCCTCAATTGCATAAAAATCCTCATATATCAGTCTACATAAAAATCCTCAATTGCAGCCAGCAATTTCATTTTATTGTCCTTATTACACATCTAAAATAACACTTTCATCATTAAAATAAATCACAATTTTAAAGTATATAGACACACACACACACACACATGTGCGCAGGGGCTGAATCAGCCCTAATGGGGGCCTCCCAGGGGCTGAATCAACTCTAATATCAGCCTCATAGGGGCTGATTCAGCCCCAGTGGAGGCCTCCCAGGGGCTGATACAGCCCCAATATTAGCCTCCAGGGGCTGAATCAGCCCCAATGGGAGGCTCCCAGGGGCTGATACAGCCCCAATGTGAGGCCCCCAGGGGCTGAATCGTCCCCAATGGGAGGCTCCCAGGGGAAAAAAAACACGGAAAAAAAAATCACCAAATCAGATAAAAACATATCAAAAAATTAGAAAAAATACTCAACCAAATCAAACGGAAAACATATCAATCGATTTGGTTGAGTATATCAAATAAAAAACATATCAAAAAAAGCCATAAGAAAAACAAATCAGAAAAAATGCTCAACCAAATCAAACGGAAAACCATCAAACGTTTTTGTCTAGGGGCATACCTCGGTGAGAAAAGGGCGAGACGAGAACGGGCAAGAAGACTCCGGAGGAGCTCAGGCGAGAACAGAATGGAGGAGCTCGGGTGAGAAGCAAACGGCGCAAGTCAGGCGAGAAGGAAACCGGAGAAAACAAATCAGGCGAGAAGAATGGAGGAGCTCGGCCGGGAAGAAGGGCTGAAGAAACTGGGCTAAAGAAGGGCAGAAAAAATCTGAAGAAATAAGAGAGAACGGGAGGCTGAAGAAAGAAAAGCAAAACGAAAACGAAAACGAGAAAATGAAAATAGCTTTTTTGCGTTTTCAAAATTTCACAAAACGACAAAAACAGTTTTGTTTTTGTTTTTTAAAAAAACTTTCGCCAAACGCATTTTCAATTTTTTACTTCGAAAAACGTGAAAAATGATATTGAAAATGGTAACAATCAGGGCCAAAAGTTTTAAAATGTAATGACATAAAATTTTAGATTTATTACTACGTATGACAAATTAGTTCATAACACGGTCAACATTAGAGCGGATTGTTTGCCTTTGATCATTTTGGAAGGAAGGCTTGGCATGAATGTGAATTGATGCGGTGGCACTTGTGATATTTCGGCTTGGGACGCATTTTATTTGGCGGTTTTTTGGATGTTAAATACCATTGGATGGGTGACTTTTTATTGGCATTGGAAGCACATCACATTGTGGCAGGGTAACGTTTCACAGATCGTCGTGTCAACTGCAGTTGATCATCTAGAAGACAATCCTCATCCAAATCCCACAAATTAAAATCACAAAAAAAAAAAGGGGAGAAAATTACTCGATAGATAGAATCCAAATTAAAGTTGACCACTATTCTGCCTAAGCTCTATCTGTTTCATAAATTTGAATTCAAAGTTTAAAAAATGCAAATTTAATTAAATTTTTGTGTGAGAAAATATTATAGCAAAGGAGTGTGAATCAAATCCTTTTGGTTTAAATTACCTATGTAGCAAACAAAATCAGTCTACGGATCACTCCTAGTTATAGAATCCTGAAGAGCCAGAAAATATTTTGGGTGCTTGAATAAAATCAAAATTTTGAACTAAAATAATGGGGTTTAGTTAGCAGCAAAAATTAAAAGTGTAAATGAAAATAACTTCTCAAAACATGTAACATTAATTTAAAATTAGATATTTTAAGGGGTAAAATAACAAATTTTTTGTCAAAAATTTATGTTGTAAATGAAACGCATTAAAAATTCTGCTTAAAATCTGAAACTAGAAAAATTTTAGGGACACTTTTCTTGCATAGCAAATCATATGTATAGCAAAACAGACATAACTAAATCATTCCAATCTTGTATAGAGAATAGTTAAGGCATGTACAATAGCTTACCTGAGATAGAACTGCCCATGATGCTACCAAATCATACCAATCTGTCATCGAACACGACACTAAAAAGGAAGAGATGAAAACTATAATATCTAGATAAGTTAGATTTTCTATTCAATTTTTAGAGTCTGAAATGGTGTATAATCAATCATACTATGTCACTTTATTTAATGGGGCTCAGAAAAATATAAAATAAAAGCACTTAAATCACTTAAAAAGTATTTCAAATTTTTTTATGCGATTTTTTTAGAAACTAATTGAAATTGGACAGCAAATCTGGATTGAGATCGGATTTGGATGTTATGAAACCAAATACAATCCTCGTTAGCATAAACTAATTTGAATGGACCACCATGTGATTATGCATAGTTTGACCGTTAACGGTCAACCTTGCAAGTTGAACATAAACAAATGCTTATTTGATAGGCATGATAAACGTTATGTAAAATTATATGCAGTTGGCTCAAAAAAGAAATATATGTATGAATCACGATCTTAATATTTATTGTAGAGTGTGGCATATTTATACATATGAATAAACTATTCCAATACACAGAAAACGACACGAGCATTTTAATAATTTATTTGCACGATTTGCCCCAATATCTCTATATAATTTGTAAATACATACATCTTCTCTGTCTAACTAGCTTGGTCAAGGTTATGATCTCCAAATATGGCCGACTCAACTCCATTTCTTTCCCAACCAAAATCGGACGATTCTGAAGTTCCACTACTAGACCAACACTTTCGTAATGCTCATTCCCTTGATTCAATAATCGAAAAATGCATTGGAGACAAGTTCAGTTGGACCCAATTCCTCCAAGCTATCGCTGTGTCTTTGGCATGGTATTTTGATGCACAACAAGCATTCATAAGCGTCTTTGCAGACGCCCAGCCCAAATGGCACTGCAACACTACTCAACCGAATCAACTCAGTATTGATAACTCGTCCGTTTCCGAATGGGCGCTGGAGTGTGCTGGATCCTTCGTCGCGGGCCTACCGGCGTCGGCTTTCTTCGTTGGCTGCCTGCTCGGCGGGCTCGTCCTGACCACACTTGCCGACTCGCTGCTTGGCCGAAAGAACATGCTTTTCCTCTCCTGCCTTGCAATGGCCTTGTCCACACTCTCCACTGCCTTCTCCCCTAACGTGTGGGTTTACTCCGCCTTGAGATTTCTTACCGGATTCAGCCGCGCGACTATCGGCACTTGCGCTCTAGTCTTGTCGACGGAGCTCGTTGCAAAGCAGTGGCGGGGCCAGGTTAGCAGTGGTGCTAGTCACGTATACATATATATATATATGTATATATATTTCAGTCACAATTCACTACATACAGTGACGGATTCAGCCTATAACTTGGGAGTACACTAAATTTTTTTTAATAAATTATCTTAGTGAAGTATATAAAAAAATATATTTATTTTAATTGAGGGTTTAAGCGTAAAATTTTAAAATTTTTAAAGATAATAGCTTTTTCAAAAAAATTTGAATGGTACAATAACCCCTATTGAGCTATACTTAAATCTGCCATTGACTGCCGGTATACAGTTTCTAAGATTTTGATTAAATATGAGTTTTTATACTAACACCCTTGCGTTTTACTAAATTAACAGAGACATCCCTGACGGCCGAAACATTTTATGTCAACAACTTCTGAGTTTTCAAAAAAAAAAAAAAAAAAAAATCACCTCTGTTTGTTGCTCATTATAACTAACGGCAAATCCTACTTTGGTATTTAAATATTGCATATATATATATATATATATATATATATATATATATATGTTTGTGTGTGTGTGTGTTTTATTTTTTTTATGTTGTATTTTTGCTAAAAGGAAAAATAAATTTTCTTGCTCCTTGACTGCAGGTGGGTGTGATCAGTTTTATTTTCTTTGCACTGGGGTTTCTGTCACTACCAGCCATAGCTTATTCAAACAGAGGCTCGTCATGGAGAAATCTCTACATTTGGACTTCCGTACCAACAATATTTTACTGTGTGGTCATTCGATTCGTGGTTCGCGAGTCTCCAAGATGGCTTTTTGTCCAAGGAAGAGCAGAAGATGCCATAGCCACGTTAAAAGGCTTATCTCAAACAAACCATCATGAGATCTTAACGATGAAGTACTTTTCAAGCATGCCCTTGGGAGAAGATCGAACACCGAACGTGAGTCTTTATTCGGCAATCAAGATCTTGGTGGAGAAAAAATGGTGTTTTCGGCGATTGTTAGCGGTTATGACGATAGGTTTCGGCATTGGAATGGTCTACTACGGCATGCCATTAGCTCTTGGAGACTTATCTTTCAACCTCTATTTGAGCGTCACTTTCAATGCCTTATCTGAGCTTCCTTCATCACTAGTAACTTACTTGGTTGTTGGGAAAATGAACAGGAAAAGCTCACTTCTATTATTCAGTATCATAAGTGGGATTTTCAGCCTAATGTGTGTGTTGAAAGGAAGAGCATGGACAAGGCTACAGATTGGTTTCGAAATAGTGTCGTTTTTCAGTGCTTGTACGGCTGACAATATACTCCTGCTTTTCACGGTGGAGTTGTTCCCCACTTGCGTTCGGAACTCTGCGCTATCAATGGTGAGACAGGCGCTGGTGTTTGGAGGAGTGTTTGGTCCGCTGCTGGCCGCCGCCGGAAAGCGAAATGGGCTACTTTCTTATGGCGTGTTTGGTGTGGTAATAGCATGCCTTAGTTTGTTTGCCGTTTATTTGCCAGAGACGAGAGGAAGAGCACTTTGTGATACAATTGATGAAGAAGAGCATAAACTAGATGACAAAGCAGGTGACGTGTAGAAATGTGACAAACTTAGTATTTTTCTTTTCCTTAATCAGGTGTTAAATGGCTAAGAGGTTGTACTTGTTTTTTGCTATGCACAACTAAGAGGTTATAGTTGTTTTTTGCTATGCAGACTGGAGTACTGGACCCATATATATGTGTTATTATTTTGAATAATCATAAGAAAATTCAAAATTATAAAGGCAAAAGCAGTTTTTTTATTCAATGTTAAGTCTAAATAATAATAATAATAATAATAATAATAAATGGTATTTGCTAGAAAATAATAGTTGAGAGTGTTGTTGGAAGAAAAATAGACATTTGAGAACAAATTACTTTAGTGAGAGACAATTAAAAAAAGATATATATATATATACATATATGAGAATTACTTTTAATATAATATATTTCAAAAGAGAAGATATTTCAAAAATGTTTAAATAGGAACATATTTAAATATATATATATATATAAAAGAAAAATTAGATAAATGTATTTATAAAAAAAGTAGTTAAGAATACACATCTAAGAACCAATTAATTAAGGTAATTAGAAACAAATGTTTATAAAGATTACTTTTCATATAATAATCTTTTTAAAAAAACCATCTGAAAAAATATTAAATCTTAAGAAATTATTCAAACTAAGACATATCTGAATATATAAAAGCCAATGGAAAAAAAAAAAGAATCATAAAAGCAAAAGTAAATTATTGGTTTCCGAATAAGATCTGTTGCCAAATTTTCATGTATATATGTAATCAGTTTCAAATTTTTCTGGTCCTTATTACACATGCACACAAAGGAAACAGAGTACAAAAGTGATCAAATGCAATGGCTACATGATTAAAATCTTAGCTTGACATTACGATTGTTTCTCGTTCAAAAAGTCTACTTTCGGATATTAGTATAAAAAAATAATATTGGTGGTAAATCAGATTAAATTATTGATTGAAAATTCTATCGAGTAAATAAAATAGAGTAAAATTACACTAAAACAAAATAAAATAAACTAAGTTAAAATACACAAAATTAAACTAAAAGGAGTTTAAAATCTCAAGATTCTAACCAATTTAAGAGCACAAAAATTGGTAAAAATAACTCTATTTCATAGAGTTATCAATTTGTTTCTTAATTACTGATTGATATCAGGTAAGTTAATCTCGTAATTGACTAATTGATATCTTTTTTTTAAAATAAAAATTGACTAATTGATATCTGTTAATTACTGATTAATAAAGTAAATAGGTGAGTGATCATCAAAAATGAACCAACAGTAAGTTACCTGTTTTTCATAAAAGGAACATTTCTTTCAATTTTTCTTTTGAATTGTGGAGGTTTTTTTTTTTTTGAGCGAACAGATTGTGGAGATTCACTAAAATTATACGTTATAGTTCAATTTTCGCACATATTCCATTTCTCTTTTTGACTTTTTCCTTTTTTTTTTTTTTGGCAAGACGTTGACTTCTTGCATGAATACAAAATATTGCTAGCTGAACATAAAGAAATCTAAATTGTAATTGAAATCAAAATGGGGAACGCAGTAAACGAAATACCCAAAATATTGGTATTAATGCCCATTTGATTTGGGATTGAATGCGTGCCTCCTATCTTCTGCTATAAATTTGCAAGCCCTATGGCCTAATCCTTCATCCTTGGAGTTATTTGCAAATCTCACACATATAATTATTAAAAGAGATGGCCGAAACAAGAGTTTGTTCACTTGTTCTCATTGTGTTTCTCCTTTTCTCCATAGGTTTGTCCTAAAATTCCCTAATTACTTGCACGTTTTTCTCTCATTTTTTTCATCTGATCATGTTAGTTATCACAACACGAAATTTTTTTTTTTTTTAATTAGTGTGACTTGTTATAAGCTACCATTTTAACACGTCACTTTTCTTGATATTACAAACATGCATGTTTCAGTTGAATCTCAATAACATGCATGTGGTTTGGTTATGATGCTTTTTACAATATTTGTCTTTAAACAATCTTGCTTATAGAAGGTAGAACTAAATTTATAATGCAATATTTTTATTTACTTATTATTATTATTATTATTATTATTTTGACTCAGGACTCGAAGAGGCATCTGGCAAGTGCGCCTGTGAAACCTATTATCATCGGCATAATTTATGTACCGACGGCCCAAATGATGACCCTAATTGCACTGCTCTCTGCTTGAACTCGAATTGCCCTAAGGGAGGCATTTGCAAACGTATTAAAGAAAAAGGGAACTATCGCCATGTTTGCCATTGTTTATGTGGTTCCTAATTCACATGCTTTAATATATATAGTTATGAGAATTAGTAGTGAAGCGGGAGTTTTAATGATAATCTCAATGTCAAATTTTAGAGTATAAATAAATATAATAAATTCCAATTACTTTTCTTCTTATCTTTTTTCTTTCTTTCTTTTTAGTGCTGGGGCATGTTATGATTAATATATTAGAAAAATCAAAAAGTCCCTCTCCCAACCAAACCGAAATTAATCTAAAAGTAGTGAATCTTGCCAATTTTGCAAATTGAAACTAAGATTTTGGCCTGTAAATTTAAGTCTATTTAAAGACTATTTATGCACTGATTTCATATATTCATTTTAAAATTAAAAATTAAGTGGACGTTTAGTTCATAGGTTCAGAATCATGATTCTGAACCATTCTCGATTGACGCGTATTTTTGTGAGAGAAGACATTGTAGCGAGCCACGAATCATGATCTGAACCATGGTACGAATCTTGACTCCAAATGCAGCCGTAGTAAACATACTACATCAAAAGAGCAGTGCTAGAATTCACAATTTTTTATAACGAAAAATCACGTATGTCCGTACTTACGTGATTTGCAAGTGCAATGAGTTTTCAAAACACATTCACATACAAGCCCAAGCCCACCATCCTACCCCATCCTTTGAGAAAATTACATACTTTATCTTTACAAGTGTATGTTCTAGATTTTTATTCTTCATTCTTAATTAATATTTTTTTACTAGTATATAGTTATTTGATTAAAAAAGTTATTAATCATGACTAAGGGGTAGAAATCATGACCCATATACTTTTAAATAGTATTTGTCTCCTTTCCCCATTTCTTTATCATGTTATAAAGTGATTATAATCCCTTGTTGCCAATATAACTTTTTGTACAATGCTTTTGTAGTAAGAAAAGCTTTGCCAAAATTTTTCCAAAGCAAATTTAGTATTAGTGGAAAATTTACCACAAAGTATAGCATATAAAAAATTTAGCACAATAAATAGTATTCTATTAGGAGAGTGTTTCTTGCACTCAAATGCTAAATTTGCAATTAGCACATCAATTATAGCATTGCATTAAAAATGTTCTAATGAGTGAAAACAAACATATTATTTTATTGACATCGACTATGATTGGTGATATTGAGGAACTCGAAATAATCTCATGTTTTATTAAAATAAAAAATAAAAGAGGTGCTGAGCCAACTTATTTATATATATATATATATATATTTTGAAGAATACCATAAAAGAAAAACCTTAGCTTTAGATTTATGCTATACGCATTGTTTGTGCAACACACAAAATGAGTGGTGAAAAGGTAATTGATAAAGTATGAAATAAATCCAATCATAAGAAAATTGTGGTATAATATACCAACGTTCAATAGAGTTGTGGAATATACCACCTAATTTTTTATATTTCTTAATACACGTTTTTTGGTGGTGACTAGTAAAACAATCATGTTGGGTTCATCTCTTAGCAAATCATGCACGGAAGTATTGAATAGACTCGATCAATCTTGACATCTTTAACTGTTTCTAATAAAGGATAAACTTGATATTTCACTTTATTTTCTATCGATCTAAATATTTGAAGAAAGCAATTAACAAAATAATGATAATTTGAACTTTAAAGCTTGAAGGTAATAGCTTTGTAAGTAATAGATATACTTAAGATTATTTGTGTAAAATTAATACAAACTGTTAATAACAAAAAGTGGCTTTTTTTTTAAGTTTTAAAATGCATTAATATTTATTTGAATTATATATCTCTGCATCTACCAATGAGAGTCACACTTGAACCCTTTTTTTTTTTTTTTTTTTTTTTTTTTAAACGAAGAGCTTAGCTTGAAAGATCACTCCACATCCACCTATCGCCACCAAACCATCCTCTTCTAACTGCCGCTCTACCACCATTGATGCCGATTGCAGACCCTCCACTACTATCACTATCCTCAATTGGGTCAGGCCCATCTGCCGGCCCATCTCTTCCTGGGCCCCATCTAACCATTTGCTGTATCTAACAATGTTGAGCCACGTGGAATAAACCCAATGATTTGATTAGAATATTAATCACCCTAATCATGATGATTATAATTCTTAATGTAAAGTAGTAAATTATTTTTGTGTAGGTCCAGTTTGGGAAGTGTGAAACTGCGTTATCTTGACCAAGACAATAGAGAATCAATGGTAAGACTAAAGAGGAAGAAGATACTACAATAAAAAAGCATGCGTGATTATTGTTTTGGGATTTTGGTAATCGATGGAAAGTGCATTTAATCAATTCCAAAACTTGAGATTTGTCCTACATATAAAAGTGAGTGCATTTCCCTATTAAGTTTTAACCCAAATCTACTTTGTCAGAGATACCATAGTAACCTTTAATTATTAATTAATTAATATCGAAACGGTGAAGAATTACCAGCCTTTTCCAGTTGTGTTGATAATGTTCAGAAAATTATATTGCATTCAAAAATGTTTTCTAAGTTATGCACAACTACTTATGTTTAGTTTCAATTTATACCAATTATTTATTTATTCTTAATTAACCTTAAACTAGTTCTATTTGTATGGCACACACACATCCAGAACTCCAATATTCGTGAGGACATCCGAATATGAGATTTTCTTATATGGCCTTCCTCAAAATTTTTATGTGTTGATTCAATTGGATTGCTTTATTATACGAGCCAAATTTTTATACAAGTATAAATAGTCTCTCTCTCTTTTTTCCCCTGTCACTCATTAAAAACAAGGACTACTATGATTGTAATATATTTTACTAAAAAAATGGGAAGCATGTAATCTTTAAAGATCATAATTTGTTATAAATTTTATTGAACAATATGAGTCATATTTCGTAATCAACACATTACAAAAACCAGTAGTGTAGATTGAACAAATTATATATATGGAACAATTAAAAAAGGAAATCAAACAATAAAAAAAAAAACGATTGAGGAGAACAAAGATGGACATTAAGGATCGTTTTATGAGAGAAAAGGAAAGTTAATCATTCGTTTCTTATTTTGTAAAGTTTCTATTCTTAATTATGTCTTATTAGATTAGAGGAATTCATTAACCCTCGTTCCTTTCGTTCGAACGAGTTGAAAACTTGAGTTAAAAAGTGAATTCATATGAGAAAAAACACTATATAACAGAAAGAGTTGAATATGAATTTTTGTGAGAGAAAACACTGTAGTAAAAAATTAACTTGTGATTCGAACTAAACTTGACTTATAATTGAAACTAGCGAAATAAACGGGGTCTTAATTTGGAAATTAGAAAACTTTCTCACTTGGCTTAGTGTAGTATATATATATTGATCGTAGTCAATGAAAACATTGGCCGTGTTTTGAATTGATCCCGTTTTTATTTTTCACGTTTTTCAAAAAATAAAAAATGAAAACGTTTTCAAAACAGTGTTTGGCGCAATAAAAATAAAAAACGGAAATGAAAACGACTTTTTGATTTAGTGTAAAATGAGAGAGAAATGAAAAACGACTTTTAGTCGTTTTTCATTTTTTATTTTCGTTTTCTCCTCTCTCGAGCAGAGAGAGAAAGAGAGACATATATGAGTTTTTTTATACTGAAAATAATCTCTTAATAAAACTATTAAATGCACTTTTAAAAATAATTTCTGTATGAAATTGAAAACGTTTTTATTTTTATTTTTATATAAAAAATAAAATTATTTTAAAATGAGTTCTATACATGCTCATTATTTTTGATAAATTCCTTTTACATTATACTTTTAAGGCACGGAAAAAGAGTGGGAAAAAACAGACAATGGGGCCATATCTAGCTCTTTGCTCTTGCTTGGGAACGCAGCCGAAGGGAATAATAAAAAAAAAAATAGAATAAAAATGACAAGAGAGTCCAAAAGTAGAAAAATAAAGCAAATAGACAGCCCAACATGGGAGTATGTACCAGTAGTACTCCTGGTGTTGTATTATAATAACCATTCTCTGTCGTTGGACAGATAAGCTGTCTCTTTTGTCTCGTCCCATTCCCACCACACTCTTCTTAATCCTCTTCTCTTCATAAACTTCTCCTTACTTTCCCATATAATTCCTTTTTCTCAAAACAATCTTTGATAAATCTTATATATCATTTGTAATTTGTTTGGTTTTCGTTTTTAATTAGTTAATGGGTTCGAAACCACGGAAAAAGCAAGTATGGTGTCCGCAGCCATTGACGCCATTGATGGAAGGTCCTGACCCGGAAATGCAAGAAGAAGGGAGCAAGAAAGAAAGTTCTTGGGAAGTCATTAGGGAATGGTTTAGGGCTCAAAAGGGTTTCCAAGGAAGTAGCAATATTAATTCTGTCTCATCATCATCATCATCAACATCATCATCAACATCATCATCATACGGTTGCAATATTCCGGCCAAAAGACAAGATTTAAGGTTGTTGCTTGGTGTCTTAGGTTGCCCTCTTGCGCCAATCCCACAAGTCAATCACCCTATTGATCATCATCACCTCCTCCATCTCAAGGACATCCCATTTGTAAGTTTTCATACAATTAAAGGGTATAAAAGACATTTCACCTAATCATGATTTTTATTTTTTGAATTTATGATACTTTGTTTTTAGAGTGTGCACATTAATTAGAGACAGAAAATATAATTTGATTGCTTCTAATAGTTTTTTTTTTTTTTTGGGCACTTTCATAACCATTAAATTTTCTATATATACAATGCAGTTGAGACAAAAGCTTTGAATATTATTAATTGTTAGTTAATATATGTGCATACATACTTGAAATTTGTTGTCAGGAAACATCCATTGCGCATTACATTATACAACAATACTTGGCAGCGACGGGGTGCTTAAAGCAACAAAAATGCAACAAGAACATGTACGCGAGTGGGATAGTGAAGATGATATGCTGCGAAACGGAGGTGTCCACAGGCAGAAATGTGAAGAGTTTGGGAACGAGGAGTGGTGAAAGTGGGTGCTTTGTGCTGTGGCAAATGACACCCGGAATGTGGTCTTTGGAATTGGTGGTCGGAGGAAATAAGGTTGTCGCCGGCAGCGACGGGAAGACCGTTTGGAGGCATACCCCTTGGCTCGGCACCCACCCGGCCAAGGGCCCCCAACGCCCTCTTCGCCGCTTAATACAGGTACCAAATAATTAATTCTAACAAAATAAAGAAATTTAAACCCTACACCACAAAATTAATGTTAGAGCAAGTTTAGTATTGAAATTAACATGTCATTACAATAACCATATAAAATTAAGTCATTAGTGATTGATATAAAAATATTATATAGGTTTTATATCTTTGTGAATTATTCTTAATTTACACTTTATTAAAATTTGAACTCTAGACCGTTTTCATTAAAGACGAGAGTCATGAGTGTCAGGCTAAGTTTAATTGGAATCAAAATTAACATGTTGACACAATAAAATATTATTCTAGTTTGGTGCGTTTTATGTTTTCATGAATTATAAGAAACCGTAAGATTTTTTTGACTCCTAAGAGATACGCAGAGATTTTGTTGCCAAATATTTTATATAAAGTTTCCAAAAAGTGGGGGAAATAATATTGACTACATGCGCAGATATCATGTATTTTTCACTTTTTCCATACAAATTTCTTTTTCTTTTCCAATATTAGATGCTTTCTATGTAAAATTTACTTATGATTTTGCTAACTAAGAATATATACATTTATACATCATATATTACGTGTTCATTGTTGAAATGGCCTTTGTTTTCTCTCCTTGTTATGTAAGATATATGCTAATTATTACATTTTTAATTTGTGGGCGTTTCTAAATTACTTGTGTGTTGCTCGATAAAGACATAAACCCCAAGTGGGTATTTTAATTCAAAAAGAAAAATGCTTTACCAAACGAAGATAGTGATATAGGAACAAAATCACCAATCACAAGTCACAATCTCGATAAAATGGGTTTATTTGCTGACAATGATAGAGAAACTGTCCCAGCTTTACCCTACAGGCTTTCCTTTTGAACATTTCAAAGAGCTTTGTTTTAGAGGACTACGGCCGGCACGTGATTTATTAGCCTTTTGACGTCATCTCAACGTCTTAAATAAATATACATTAGGGTTTAGGCATACGAAAAACATTATATGATATTCTTCATCACATTGGGATTATAACTCATACTGTCCTAAAGTATGTGTATTATAATCTCTCTCTCTCTTCACTTTTACTTTTTCTTTTCTCCACTTTAGTCACAAGTGTCGGATCTGTAATTTATTGCATTATGGCCCTTCTTTTCTGATCTTTTTCTCCTTTTTTTTGTTGTTGTTCTCCCTTATTCTCTCTCTGTTTTTTTATTTTATTTTAGGTTTTATTGATTCTGTAAACATTAATTTAATTAGGTCTAGTTCACTTCGCGGATTCGAGTTGAGATGTGACATTTTTTTAAAATTTTTTACTGTAACAGAAAAAGTTAGATGTGATATTTTCTGAGAGTTTTTTACTGTAAAAACTTAAAACTAAAAACTCAAATCGGTAAAATGAACGAAACCTTAGTTGCCGCGATCCCGTGATTGCTTCCACCCAGAAGATAATTCAGAATAGAAAAGGAAAACATTGGTTATTAATCTTCTAAATATACGAAACATGATCTTAGTAAATATAATAAGTAATATAGGTGTACATATTAATATTATCCTGCCCACTCTGAATATATGTATAATATTTAAAAAAAAAAAAAAACATTCTCTATTAGATTTTAAAGTATGTGACACCCCATCCAATAAATTCATATAGCATTTGTCGTCATAATATCAAAGATTTTAAGCTGCCATTTTCCGTAGTTTGGATTAACACTTGAATTCAAACCTTTTTAATATTTGTATTTGCATAGCAGAACTGTTTCCCAGATCTGTGGGAAAAAATACGGAGCAAAACGATAGTTTTACGACTGAAAATTGTGAAAATCACGTTTTAAAAAACATAAAAGAAATGGTGATCAGTCCAGTTGTACATGTTTCATATTACAATAGCTCATTCTACAAATATAAATATTGTTCACGAATCATAGAGTATACACATGTGTATTCGCCAATTAATGTCATTCCATATAATTCTTCTTGTTTAATTGTAGGGCCTGGATCCAAAGAGCACAGCGAGCTTATTTGCAAAAGCACAATGCCTAGGGGAAAAGCGAATCGGAGACGACAACTGCTTCGTGCTGAAGGTGTCGGCGGATCGCGCCGCCGTGATGGAGAGAAGCGAGGGCCACACAGAGGTTATAAGGCACGCATTGTATGGCTACTTTTGCCAAAAGAGTGGCCTCCTCATATACCTTGAGGACTCCCACTTGACTAGGGTTGAGTCACCGGACAACGATACAACGGCCGATACCGTCTATTGGGAGACGACGATAGGCAGCAGCATCGGCGACTACAGGGACGTTGACGGAGTCCTCATCGCCCACCAAGGCCGCTCCATCGCCACAATCTTCCGCTGCAGCGAGCTCTCCATGCAATACACGAGGACGAGGATGGAAGAGCTTTGGAGCATTGACGACGTCGTTTTCAACGTCCCCGGGCTCTCCGTCGACTCCTTTCTCCCTCCAGCTGACATACTTGACGGCGTACATTGACTAGTAATTCACAATAAGTTGATCACCTTAAGGATGATTATGACTTCCCAAGTTTTTTTACTTTTTTAAGTTTGGGTTATAATGGTTTTTTAGTTTCTTAGTTGTTGTTACTAATTATTAGTTAGGTAAAAACAAAAAAAAAATTATGTGTTATTGGGTGGGATTAAATGTTAATTCGGTATATCATTTCAAGTGTTTTTTTTTTTTTTTCATTTCAAATGAAGTGTTAATATGGTGGGGGGTCTTAAGCTATATATTTAGTGACTGAAGCGTTGAAAAGGGGCAATTAATTGATCATGGATGGGCCTGGAATAAACACATGTTGTTGGTTAATATATATGTTGTTTCATAACTATTATGTTTAAATTAGATATTACTTGTTACTCTTAGGGGAAAAAATTGTTATTTTTATTTAATTTTAGGTCTTATTCCTATACATAAAAGTTGAAAAACATTTTTATAATTTATTTGACCCACACTAAAATATTTTTCTATACTTTCGAAAGTTTAAAGTCACATTTTTTGCACAAAAGTTAAATAGGGGATGTTTGGTTGGAGGATTCAAATCATGATTTGAATCATTGTTCATGGTTCGTTACAGTGTATTCTCTTACAAAAAATACATGTAAATCAAAAATAGTTCTAATCACATAATTTTAATTCATGAACGAAATAGTCTTCAATTTTATTCCTTTTAATTCCTCCAGCGGCCGGCTGGTTTTGCTACCTGTTACATAGATGCCTCCAACGGCTTAAAGTGTGGTTTCTGCTATTGAAACCCGTCATTTCGAGTTTAGGGATGCTTTTTGACATCTTGATAAATTTCATATTCTTATTACTACCCCTACCACAATGTCTAATTCCTTAGAAGATTGGAATTTACTGAAACCCAAGTAAATATTGCCTAAAATTAAATGGTCATTTTTCTTAAAATATTTGAAAAAACGTTACAGTATAATTTCAACTCCACTCTCATAAAATTTTCATGTAATTTTTACAACATTTGTTGTAACAGTTTTGGGCCTCTAGTGGCAAATAAAACCTTTTGGGCCTCTTTTAATAAGCGTACATGAAAAATTAGAGAATTTATTCTTAAAAGTATAGGAGTCTAGACATTTACCCTTATTCTTGATAAATACTCTTTTATTACTATAATTATTTAACTAAAAATATTATGAATTATGAATAAAGGGTAAAAGTCCTTACTCGTGTAGTTTCAAGAGTATTTGTCCCTAAGCACGTCAAATTATCAACATGGACTGTCATGACTCATGAGTTGCTAATTACTAGCTATAGAATAGGGTGATCATGGACAACACACTTTTCATAGATTGAAATCCAAAAGGGGACTTTACAAGAATATCACAGACCTGAGGATGGATTGATTTATGTCATAGGAAACAATTTTGCAGAGAATACCACGGCTTTATCATCTCATCATATTTAGAATATCAAATATACCCTTAAGATACTAGTATCCGCCGGATTACCATCTCATGTCCATTGTCAATACCAGCCGGTGAATGTATGTCAGTAGTTACAAAATGGTAACCATCATGATACCGGCTGTAACCAACAGGCAACAAGTACTGGCCGGAAAACGATGGAATCAGTACCATTGGTATCCAACAGTGATACCGCCAGAACAAGTTGGTTTTTTTATAATATAAATACTTAAAGAATCACCTTAACTCACCAAAATCACACAAAAACCACAAGCATCAATTCCAAAAATAGAAAAGCACAAACAAAATTCCCCTCACCAACTGGTATCCATCGGGATACCGACTAGTATCCTTACTGGTATCCACCAAAAAGTCACCATTGTTGGTGGCAGTAAAACCATCACCGTCACCGGGGTATGCAAAAAGTCACGAAAATTGGCCAAATCCCAAATAATACACATAAAAATTCAAAAAAAAAATCACAAACTCAACAAATCATCAAAAATCAAAACTTCAAAAAATCCATGATAAGTACATAAAAATACGCTCTGATGTTGTTTAAATAAGGACATTTATGAATAGATCAAGCTTAATGTGGTATTTTCACATAATTTTCATGCAAATTTTGTTTTCAAGTATTGTTCTTCTATATGTGTTTTCATGCCATAATTAACTCAAACTTGTATTACAAATAGAGAATTGAGATCTCATTTATTCTTAGATTGCCTAAGAGCAGTTTAGAGAGAGAAAATTAACTACTCCCTTAGTGATTAATTTTTTATAGCTCTTGAGTGCTTGGAAGGAGAAACTGGTGTTGAAAAAATTGCTGAGTTGTGCCCACACACAACAATTTGAGGGAACGAGAATAACATAAAACTCCATTTGGTAATTGAAACTCTTCTAGGAATACTTTGCCAAAATTGTTATTTCCGGTAATTCTTCAAGTGTATGAACTATTTAGATATAATTTTTTGTTCATAATAATATGAGTAGGATTCTTGGTGACTAATTAAAATTTTTTAAAATTTTGTTGTGCCACCCAATTAATTTTCTGAACAACGGAGGCGGAACCGTGTAGGTGACGACAACAGGAACATCGATGATGGAGGAATGACGAGGGACGGCAATGATGGGAGTTGTTTTTAGAAAGAGAGGTGACAAAGGGAGAGAAGAGAGAGGCGACGGAGAGAGAGAAATATTTGCTTTTCGCGTGAGGGAGGTTTACACAATTTGGTGGAATATTGTTTCACAACTCGAATAAAAAAGTTAAATTTAAATTTTTGTAAGAGTATTTACTGTATAGTGAAAAAAATTTGAGTTGTGAAAAGAACATACCCTAAATCATCCGTATTTTTTGTTTTCTGACAATTTTTTAATAATTTCTTTCAAGTGAGGGATTTAATTAATTACTAAGGGATCAAGTAGGAATAATATGGCAATGTAGTTGATGTTCTTCCTTCTCTAATACTAGTTACCCTATCTCATCACTTAAATTTCTTTTTATGAAGAAAAGCTGGCAATGACGCATATAATGATGAAATTTTAAAAATTATCTCAAAATACAGTACCTTAGAGCTTCTAACAAATATGAATAATTGAATTGCATATATATATATGTGTGTGTGTGTGTGGATATATTGACATGTGCAAGTACGATTCTATTTGTGATCTTCCTTTTATCTTTAATTAGTTGCAGTAATATAGTTGGACTCCTAAGTTTTACTTGGGTCAAACTGAAAAGAGTGAGAGAATAGCAAGGGGACAAAAGAAGCTTCTTGAGTATACTTTGTAAGAGTTTGGAAAATTCTTTACAAGACACAATTAAAGTTGATCTTCTGCAAATAAATATAAAATATAACTATATAAGAAAACAGAATCCAAAGTGCATGGTAGAATTAAAATGGAAGTAGCTGTACTGCAAATGATTTGCTTATGCATGGGAAGATGTGCATATATATATATATATATATATATATGCCTTTGAATAATAATTCCTAATTAGAACCGAGACCCTATGTTCATCATATGGATGATTCGGTGTAAATGTAGTCACAATTGCATGTAAAGTGTACAATTTAATTGAACAAAAAATAAAAGGAAATCCAATCCCATGCATATGCATTTGTATTATCATCATTATCAGCTTTCAATGTGAGACTTTAACTTTGCACTCATAAAGATAGAAGCTTCCTCGATATGCGCACGCGTGGGAGTGCGTTGTGTTCTTCCCTTCCTTTAGGCTTTATTAGCTTTTTTTCTTTTTTCTTTTTTCTTTTTTTTTTTCCCTCTCTTCTCTGTGTGTATCTCTCTCTCTCTCTCTCTTCTTTCTCTGTCTTAAGAGGAGCTTTCTTGACAACTTGCAGTGACTAAATTTTCTCTGCAACCAATAAAGGTAAGTGGCACAACCAACCTTTTTGAACATCAAAGAGAAGCCTCTTCAAAAATCCAATCTTAAGAATGAGAGAGAGATGAATCATATGTGTCTCAATTTTATAGGATTGATAAGGAAGGCAAATTGGTTTGGCTAGAGCGAGAATTATTTTGTAACCGCTCTAACTAAAAAGTTCATGTGGTCAATTAGAGGTATATATCAACTATAAAATAATCATTCATTACATGAAAGGACCTTCTTATAAAAAAAAACAATATAATTAACATCAAAGTATACACAGATGAGTTTTCAAAAATTACGTTTCTATAGATGATTACCGATTAAATTATAGGATTAAGTGCATATACCTTAATTACATTTGATGTTGTGGTTTTTATCTGACTTTCTAATCAACAACTTAGTCTTAAGCATTAACTATTAACTCATTCATATGCAGACATATAAATATGTGTGTGTATAATATTCTATGAATGTGTGTGCTTGTATGTATATAATTGTAACCAAAAACTACCGTAGTAAAAGAAGTAGAATCGCCAAGGTTCACAGCCAACTATATATATATATATATATATGTATAATATATACACACAATTTTACTGTCAAAATAGTAATGTTCCTAGACTTGTATGAAAAGGTTAAGATTTTTTTTTCTGACCATACGAGGACGCCCACATCCCCAACCTACCAAAAAAAAAAAAAAAAAAAGAGAGAGAGAAAAGAAAGACGTGAATGGTAATCTTGTCGTCCTCCTTAATTTGGCGCTAGAGAGAATATATGAGAAAGTACTAAAGGGGAAAGAAAAAAGAGCCAAAGACAGATACTTTTGGTCGGTTTCTCTTATGAGTCGTAGAAATTATTTTATTTGTTGTTAATTCGTAGAAAAGAAGCTTATATATACGTAGATTTAAATAAATATCAAAACTAAATCAGGATCTGATTCATAGTTAAGAAATGTTGTTGCTTTCTTTAGTGTTCTATGCGTTCCTCGCCTATCCCTTTTATCTTTTACTTTATTGAAGATTTTGGTTTGCATTAATGTGTATATATTTTTAATTTATCCTTAATGGTTATGTTTTCAATGATAAGAGCATATAACTAACTTGAAGCAACTAACTTAAGGAAAGCTGATAAGTGTAAAAGCTTAAAGAGTTGGCAAGAATAACCTCCAAAAGAAGACAACTCACATTGACCATGCATGGTGAAAAAAACACAACGAGATACACAGATATATATATATATATATATACATAGAGAGAGAGAGAGAGAGAGAGAGAGAGAGAGAAGAGAGAGAGAGAGCTGTATCAAAGTAAACTAAAAATATGCATGTTGCCTCTCCTATATATCTTTATTCTTTTTCTTTTCAACTTTTTTTTTCCCAATAAGCTAGCTTGCCAGTAATCTTTTAGACAGTACATATAAGATCTCAATATGGTGTCCAAGCTGCTTTGGAAAAGTACTGAAACCCTCAACTGAAACATGACCTACATGTACACTAAAGTATTGTATACTCTAATTATAAGATATTGTTTCTCTCCCTTTATATATATATATATATATATATGTAGAGAATAAATTTCAGTATTTTTTTTTTAACAAAGCCCAAGGGAGACAAATTTTCCATGCCTGATATTATGTAGGCTTGACAATTTGACAACTTAAAAGTTTAAAACAACTGCATGATATAGAATTCAAATTTTCTCTTATTTTTGTTATTCTTTGAATCACCATTAACATTGTAATATTGTTTTATGCGACAATAGCTCAGTTTTGTAGTCTTATTTTGTTCTTAAGTTTTTAAGATGGTTGAATTTACTGTCTGTAGAAAATAAACAAGAAAAATAATATCTCTGATCATGTAAACCATGAAAAAAAAAATACATATAAACACACAAAAACTTAACCTCTGGATTTTCATTTTTCCCTTAAACAGACTCCAAAAAACAGGCAATAACATTGAGATCAGAAAAAGATTTGGAGGCAAACTACGTCATGCCAAAAAGTTCCACAGTCAAGGAAGCCTTCAATTATATCATATAAACATATATGAGAGTTAGCAGTATCAATTAGGAATATTGTATCAACACAAATGTTCATGTTAATACTTGAAAATGTAACTTTATGGGTTTGCCATGTATGGCATTTATCATACACTCATGAGTAGAAACCCTAATGTGGATATATAACTAATTATAACCTTCATGATCAAAACCCTAGATCTCATATTTCAGAGTTAAATTAAAATATCTGAATGATAACTTACATCTAAACCGTAATTATTAAAGGCAAATTCATCCAAAAGGTGAATTTCTGCCTTGAATCATAGGGCTCATCCTCTCTCCGGCGAGAGGAACTCTTCTCGGCGATGGCCTTTCAAGCTTTGCTCCTGCCACGTCATACTTCTTCTCCCCCATATGCTCACCTGAGATAACCGGTTTTGTCTCATAAATATCAGACAATGAATCGATCTCGGTTCCTCTCTCAATCGACGGCGGTGCCATCTGAATCTGATCACCTTTGAAAGGATCGTGATCAGGTGGTCCGAGACAAGATGCAGCCGTTCCCAAGTCTTGCAGCCGGAGATCATCGGACCACATCAAAGGGCTCTTTCCGGTACTACCATTGTAAGGGCTAGGCCTCTTCTTTCCGAGACAAAGGTTATCATTATTCGGCAAAAATCCATGATCAATTGATGGCCTGTCCATGCTTTGTTGAAGATCAAGTTGGTCACCTCCATAAATGTTAAGGTCTTGAAAAGATGGAAAGCCAAGAGGAGCGGTGAAATCTTTCAAAGTTCCCATGTCATGAGGATTAACACCATGATTTACAATACTGCCCTTGTAATTTCCAGCTGCTGAAGCCATGCTGTTTTCTCCTGCAAGAGTTTGACAAGCTTTCTCCAATATGCTTTGCATGTACTTTCCCTGAGCCTCAATTCTCAACTGAAGGTGTTTCTGGACCTGAAAAAATATGTTAAAAGTTTGGGAACAAAAAAGTTTGCATAAAGACTTGCACTTTTTCTATTCATCATCATACATATGTATAGTAGTTTTGCATGTTCATATATATAATAAATTTGTATAATATATATATATATAAATTACCTCCAGTTGTTCATGCAGTCTTCTCTGCACCTCCATTTGCATCCTAATCGCATCAACAATGTGTGAGTTACTGCTTCACATAACAGTTTCACACATACACATTTCCACAAGAAAATCCGAACCCCCACAATACCCCAAGAAAAAAAATGAAAAAACAAAAACTTAGGCAATTGTACTTTCTTTGATTAAAGAGGATATATAATCGAAGAAAAATAGATCATGATTACAAAAAATAATAATCCATGCATGGAAAAATCATATACGATTTATGGTTGAAAAGATCAGGAAAAGAATATATATACATACATATATGTGTGTGTGTGTGTGTGTGTATGTGTATATATAGGAGAAAAAAAAGGCAACAGAAACATACTCATTCATACTGCGGCTAATCATCCCAGAAGAAGATGCAGTATTTCGTTGAAGCTCTAGAGCTGATGCTGTAAACAAAGACGAAAAAGGTATATTTTCACGCATAGATATTAGAAGAACAAATTGTAATAGAAAAGAAATGGTTCAAAGAACTTGATAAATTAATAAGAAAAGGAACCCTAGAAAGAGGAGTCACCTCTCATACCATCCTTAATTGAGTGATCATTGAATTCCTTGTGTGGCTGCTTTCCTAGCCTGAATTTCTATATATTCAGGTTGAAGAAGATATAACAATCATATAAGTAAAAGAAAAAAAAACAAAACAAAAATAAGACAACACATCAATCATAAAACTTTGCATGTCAAAAAGGGCAACAATAATAGGAGGAGAAACTAGGGTAATTGAAATATTAATTGTTATAAACAAGATCTATATATATATTAGAACCTGAAGATGGCTCTTGAGGTGGTAAAGTGTAAGCCCCTTCACACCCATAACTCTCATAATTGTCTTTGGTGTGGCCTCTACAAATTGTCAAAAAGAAAAAAAAACACTAGAATTCATGAGAATTATATCATAAAGAAATTAATTAGAATATTAACAAGAAGATTAACGTGATGGAGATGATTTAAGTATTAGCATTAGTACTGTCAGGTCCTCCAAGCTGAGTGACAGCGTCGACAAATCGTTCGTGAAGTTCGACTGTCCATCGGAGGCGGGGCTTGGGGTCAGTTGTGAGGACAAGGCCGGAGTCTCCTTGAACACACATGGGTCGGTCATGGGAATTCATAGTTGAGGGCTTCTTGTGTTGGAACATTCTCTTTCTCTTTCTCTCTGGGGAGAGAATACGAAGAGATTCAAGAACAAATGCGATGCAAATAGGGAAGAATAGGGTGCGTTTTTCAAGAAGAGAGAGCGGTGAGCTTTGGTTTCTCAAGTCCTATAAAAGAATTGGGGGACAAGTTTGCCTTACATAAAAGAAAACTTCTTTAAGATATTATTTTAATACAACTAGAGAGAGAGAGAGAGATTTAAAGAACGCCTATTCTAATATGCAGGCCTTCCTTTGCATAAAGATACTGTCTCTGTCTCTGATCTATATTAATATACTCCTACTGAGATTACATAATTGTATAGCTTCTCTATTTTATTGTATTATTATTATTATAATAATAATTATTATTATTATAATAATAATAATTATTATTATTATTATTATTATTATCATTATTTTGAGAATATAACTTCCCTAATTGGAGAGATATATATATATATATATTTCTATATTTTGTAGTGATATGAATATCTATAAGTTTGTGGTGCGTTTCTGATCTAACTTCAAATTATATCATAACCAATCGACTATATCCAAATTGAATTCAATCTTATACATTTATTTCTTTATACGTTGTGATAGAAATACCGTAAATTTATACATATACATAGAAATAGAATCTTGTAAGGTTATAAAGAGAAATGCATGTACTAACGATCGCCGAAATTTAAAAATAATAATAATAATAATAATAATAATAATAATAATAATAATAATAATGGTGTGCGCTATATACTATGGTAGTGATATTGCGTGTACATATGACAGAGAATATATAATGTATGTTTTGCTATGACCAAAAGAAAGAGTACATCTTTATAGAAGCAAATTTTTATTCTTCTAGCATGTGAAGCTTTTCGCATTAGAAGATATGAGTGAGACCCCTCAAGCAATGACGACGGGCTATACTTTATCCTTCTTTTTCTGAACCACATATACATAATACATATATACATGCTGGCCCTCATATTTATCATTACAATTACATGACATAATATTATTTAACAGTAGCCACTAATATATATGCGTGACTTACATATAGACATATATATACACACACATATATATTTGTATATTTGGTCCCTCTGCATTTCGTAGTACGACCCCTTTTTAGTATAATTATTATGAGCCCTTACCAATGAACCATCATGTTTTAGAACACAAAGACACCCTTTATGTCATTACCAACGAAAAGGTTCCAATCATATATGCTTGAGATGAAAATTTTTATGTTGAAGAGATTATTATGTTTCTTGATGTAGGAGTCATTTCGCAGCCATATATTTTTCAAATTAGTCTAATATGACACCTAGCTACAGAAAATCGTACTATTTTCTAGCTAGTTTCTTCATGCGTTTATTTCCCGCTCTTGTGGCTACATGCATTCAGATAAATTAGTGTTATAGGGTTCACATTTCATCTTCTTTATTTTTTTAAGTAATTAAAAATTTTTGGACTTGTCTATCCTCACATGTTCTTTATTTTTTTTAAGTATCAATTATTTCATGTTCTTTATTTTTTTCTTTATTATTATTATTATTTGAACTGTTGCTTTCATGAAGCTAATTTGTACCCAAGAAATGCGCACTTATGGGTCACGTACGTTACACTCACGGAGTCAATGAAGACCCGATTAAGCCCCACTTAAAATTTTCATTTTAAAAAAAATATATATTTTTTTTCTAACAGAAGTATGTATTGCATTATATTGATATACATATAGCCCCCACAAAAAACTTAAAAGTCAATCTTGTAGCCCCATTAAATTTTTGTTTCAATAACTAGCCTCCAGTGCTAAGCATGCTAAATCCAAGTTCTTCAAGAATAATTAAGCACACTTCAAAATACTCTTTTGTTAAATAGTGCATCTCAACTAGGTTGGTACTGGTCCACTAGAAATTAAAACTCACTACACACCTATAATGCTCCACTCTAATTTATCTAATTTCTTATTTTCCAAATTTAAAAAGGGAGGAAAATAATGCAAAAAATATATATCCTAACAATGAAGCATCACGTCTGAATAGTCAATTAGTAGAGTATTAATAATCAATGTGTTATTTTCAATGAAGGATGTTGTGAAAGCACCGAAAGAAAACAAATATATGGTACCAATTTAGCTTTTGGGGTCTGTGGTTGGTAATATATAAGGAAGTGAACATCAATGCATAAAGGGGATTGCTATTGTGAAGCTTTTGATGACAGGAGTAGGGGACCTAATAAATTGCTTCTAAAGCTTTATTTCTTGCCTCAATTCCTCCCTTATCACTTTTGTGGAATTGAAGATTAATTGTCCTCCATTCAATCAATTCTACTCCCATATCCAAACCATTACAAACAAGAACTCAAATTCTAGGTCAAAGCCAGCTCCCCCTTTTCTTTTTTGTCCTAGATGGTCCTACGGCTCACTATAGAATGATTTGTATTTTTTTTTTTGATATAATAATTACTATAGAATGATATTAATTGCTAATTATGAGATTGTCTAAAAGAAAACACTTCTTAGAAAAAAAAAAAAAAAAAGAAAAGAAAGAGAAGAGAGGAGAGATCAAAGAGATACTAATAAAGCTACTAGTACTATGGCATATATGCATGTGATAATTACCGTTCGAGACATGCATGCATATATATATATATATATATATATATATATATATACGCTTTTTTTTTATTGCATGCTCTTTTTGTATATCGTTTTTGTCTCTCGCTGTTGATGGTTGGCTAAGCTCATTTATTTCTAGTTGATAATTTCATGCACTGTTTTTTCTTATCTCTCGACTTTTTTTTTTCTTATCTCTCGACTTTTTTTTTCTTATCTCTCGACTTTTTTTTTTCTTTTGGGTTTGATTTGGATAAGGTTTTTAATGCATGATGTCCTTGCTCTTTCTCAAAATTTTAATGAGGCATCCTTTTGGTTGTCCACTATCAGAATTAGATCATCTTGGTTTGACAGCCCATGTTCTTATTGTTCTTCATCTGGAGATTGTTTCTTTTGTCTTTTAAATTCTTGATCTCCTGTGTTTTGGGGTCATATTCTCTTTCTATTCTGACTGTTCATTAGGTTTTATAATTGATACTTTTTTTTTAGTGGGTACTAACTTAATTAGGATGTGTTAAGCGATATAAATTTTGATACTTGTTATTTTCACTCAAGAGTAAAAAAAAAAAAAAGTTATTTAATTAATTATTAACAAGAATAAATATATTGTCATATCACTTCTTGGTACATAAAATTTTTAGTAAACAAGTTAGTATTGATAACATTTCTCACTTGGACAACATAAATATTTCAAATAAAGCATTCTTTCATAAAGCTCAAGGAAGTTGTGTCAAACATATTTTTCTTTTTTTTTTTAAAGGTGCAAAGAAGTTAAAAAAATACCTGCTATTCATCTAAATCTATCTTGGGAATAAATGCTTCCTTCTTTGACAATCAAGGGAAGATTCTTCTCCCAAAGATCTTGAACTCTACGAGTCCCACAAATTTCATTTTAATAAGGTTACAGTTCCACATTTAAATTCCTTTTTGGCAATATAATATAGTTAAAACCATCTATATATATCATATGCATGTTTTTGTCCCACTTAGTACGTATGTTTGACCGGGTCCCACTTAACTGTTCAAATCAATCCTATGTGTGCATGCCACGTGGACAGATTAAGCTGTTTAACTTGATCAAGATTTAAATCCAGACGATTAGGACTGTGGAATTGCCTGTCCCCCACCACCTTTGCATGCAAAATCTTTAGTTGCTATTACTTTGGCACCTCTATATATCCAAACTGGCATTAAAAAAAATAATAATAATAAATAAAGCATTTCAATTAGAATTGTAGATTCCTCTTTAGACTACTATTCTATTAATGGCTTTGCCTTTATAATATATTCAAGCAAAGTTGAGGTTTAACTTTTAGTTCATAATAATTTCATAGCCATAAATCAGTGGAAAAGTAAGGTGGCTTAGTGTTAAGGCCATGTTTGCTTGAATTTCAAGCATCTTTTTTGTGTTCCGGGGAATTATTCTCTAAAATGAATATATTCCTTTTTGGAGGTGAATTTGTGGGACCCGACTTTATGCAATTTGAACACTTTACATAGCTTCACCCTTTTCTATCTACTATACTCCATCTCCCAAGGATTTCAGATGCAGCATGCATATATATATACACATATATGTGTATATATATACATACATACATATACATATATTATATATACATATAATATGTGCTGCATGCATGTCATCCCATTATTGTTTTCATTATTTCACATAGAAAATAGTCGATCCATATATATATGTAAGAAGAAAACTTTAGATAAGTACATCATGACAATATGGTTTTCCTTTTTTTCTTTGACAATTAATAATGTGAGAGTGACCATAGATGGGTACATATGATCTTAAAAGTGCATAAAACAAAATTGGGAATATATGAGAATTCCACTATCAAAATCTAACTCGTAAGTTTACACACAACGTAGCAGAAAACTTAAGCGTAAAATTCTTTCTTTTTTAAAACTTAAAAGTAGAGGGATTCAAACTCTATATTTTACGGTGAATTCAAGTGTGAAATTACCTTTTTAATTAGTGAATCCTCTTTCTTTCATAGATGTATGTAGCTTGTGCGTTAAATTTCGTCTCCTTCTTTCATTCTTTTATTTTTGCGTTTAATTATTATTAGCGGACTTCGCAAGTCCGAATATCATAACAAATGGGGTCGGACCATACGAAAATGTGGGGACAACCCTTATTATTTGTGCACCGTGTTTTGGTGTCCCTAGATCTGCTCTAGGAAATAAAAAAAAAATAAAATAAAATAAAATTACTATCAATATTGTGTTGTTCTAACCCATTAAAATTTCGTCAATCATATATTTATATATATATATATATATTGGTTTTTATATCATTTTGAAGTGCATCTGATTGTCTAGAATTGCGTACTATTAATCAATATTTTTTTCCCTAAAACAAAATCCTCTTAAATTCAATGGATTCAAATATTAGCAGGTCATATTTATGCTGTTTTCTTTTCTTTCTTTTTTTCCCTCTCTTTTAATCTATAACCTATTTGTCTCTATCATTAAAGTCGGTGTGTTCTTTGCTCAAAGTGGGTATCCTGGCCTGATCTTTTTTTCCGTCTGTTCTTTTGTTTTTTCCACTTTTATTTTGGGTCTTCTCTAGTCGTGGCGTTTGACAAAATTTTACATCTACCACCTTTTTCATCTTAATTATATCCATCACCTTCCTAGAACCAATCTCACACTACTTGTACTAGTTTTTCTTTTTCTTTTTGCACAGTCGCACTAGTTTTATTTTTTTTTTATTTTTTTTGTAATGAGTAATTTTCCCTATGATTGTGTAACGAGGAGCATATTATGTTTGAAGGTTTTAATGGAAATTATTAATGCTTAATGGAGTCAGAAGAACAATAATGAAATTTATTCGCATCTTGTCAAGAAGATTTAATTTGCATCTTAAAATTCTGATTATTATTCATGTACCCTGCTTGTTGTATGTCAAGGTTGACATTCCTTCATCTTCTTAATCGTCACTGCACTCATATGTAGATTTTTTTTTTTTTTTTTGCTATAATAAGAGAAGTAAGATTTGAAAAAATATCTCATGGATAGGACATTTTTTAAACTATCGTATTTGTGTGTGTGAGATGCATCATTTTTGCATATTTTCATTTTGACATTATTTCAACCAGATTCAATATTTTGAAAATAATCCTACTCTAAGATTAATGAAATTCAGTTTCATTTCTTAAAAAGAAAAAAAATGGATGCACCTCTAAGCATTACCACATGAAATAAAGAGGGGACGGTACAAAATTGTGAAGTACCAGCATAGTTTTTTTTTTTTTTTAACAATTTTGTAGTACGGTATAAAAAAATATTCCATAAAATATAATTATAAACAGTTATATCACGTTAGAATAATACCAGATTAAATAGAGGATAATAATTAACGGAACTTGATGAAAAGTCTGGTGGTTCATAATTGTACTTTACTAATAACAAGTTATTTCATGCTCCACCTAAAATTTTATTTTTTTCAAGTACCACATTAAATTTGGGTTAAAACTAAATCTTTTACTTTTAGATATTTTTTAACTTTTAGTTTGATTTCAAAGAATGAAAAAGAAAAAAAAAAGAACATGAATCGGATATATATATATATATATATATTTGTTTTTGTTTAATCATGAATCTAAGAGTGTTGATAGATGAACATACATGATTCTTTTCTCACTAGATTAATTAGGAGCATTCTTATATATTTTGATCCCCTTAATTATGTTCAGGCCTGTAGCTAGTGTGAATCTCTACTTATTAGATCCATCAATATGGTCAACAATACGGGCTATGAGTCTATTTATCTTCTTCTAGAAAGAAGAGAGGAAAGAACAACGAGCCACCTTTAAATCAATTTGCTTACCAAATTTTTCTGTATAAATTTTGTAGTTTTGTTTTATTTTACCAACTTGATTTGCTCGCGTAACATCCCTACATAATATATTTATGTTGTTTATTTTCCTTTATTTTTCTCTATTTTCTGTGCAGCACACTGATAAAAAGATTTTAAATTGTAACGGTGAAATTAAAATGCATTTTTATCTATTTTATATGGTGTGGATGAGTTTACAACTAATTACTATTATGGTTAATTATATTTTCACCCAATAATGAAATATAGTTGCTGTTTTAAAAATTATTCTTATTTTTATTTTTCACATTTTTTGAGAAATAAAAAATGAAAACGATTCTAAAACGACGTTTGACACAATTAAAGATAAAAAATAAAAATAAAAACGATTTTTTAATTGAATGTAAAATGAAAGAAAAATAAAAAACGACTTTTAATCGTTTTTCATTTTTTATTTTCGTTTTCTCCCCTCTCGAGCAGAAAGAGGGGGAGATTAATAATGTTTTTTTTATATACTGAAAACAATCTCTTGATAAAACTACTAAACACATTTTTAAAAATGATTTCTATTTGAGATTGAAAATATTTTCATTTCTATTTTCTAAAAACAAAATCATTTTGAAACGAGTTCAAAACAAGAAATTTCGAAATAAGTGGTAGGAAAATTGGTAGAAAGTTAAATACTATTGACTACTTTTTTTTTTTCTCCTGTTTTATTCGAAAAATAATTGCTACTCTTAATTTCAAAACAGGGGTCAAAATAAGACTTCTGCTCTACTCTGAGGTACGTTTAAGAACTAATCATATATTTTCACAAAATCAAAAGGGTTAGATTCCCCCTCCCTAACCCTATTTTCCATTTCTTTTTTCTTTTGGTTCACTCATCAAAACAGACAACACACCCTTGAAAGCTCTAAAATACTATGACAGACAAGAATATACTACAAAACCATCCAAAGAAAACAACTCTTTATTTTATTTTCATTAGAATCTTTAAACATTTCAAGTAACTTCCTAACCTCTAATTGAGAATGTTTTCAGGCCGAGCTGGTATGGATGACGTTGCAGAATTATTTTAAGTAGAAACAGCTAAATGTAAAGGCTATAAATAAACTCTTATCATTGACAGAGAGCAGAAGGACCAGCATCACAGGTAAAACACATCCATACCAGCAAGTTTTAGATCAAAACGACGTGTGCTTTTATAAAGCAACAACAAAATAAACACAACAGGAAATTTCATACGATAATCAAACTCTTATCCAAGACCCCGCTTATTAAGATGACACATTGCGAGGACTTGGTTGTCATGCATGCTGCACACCGGAAATCGCATTCCCAACCGCTACCTCTCGAGAGAAGCGGAAACTCGAGTTTTCTCGGATGCTCATGCTCAAACTTAGAGTAAAAGCTTCAATTTGGTGCAATGGAAAACCTTGCACATCAACTACTGTTCATGTTCCCCAAGCATACGTATTTGATCTGGTATGAAAAGCAACTAATTTTACACATCCAGGAGAAAAGCCAAATGCCTAATGTAACTTTCAGAATTAGGGAACTAGTCAAAAATATCCTTGTGTTTTGTTCTTTTTTCCCCCCACATGTTGTACTTAGATATTACAAAAAACCATACGAATTTGAAACTCCTCCAAATCTATCCCCCTAATTGGTCAGATTGAGGAAAATTACTCAATTTTTCAGATTTATCCACACAAAACATTGAGATACAACAAAACATCTCTGTCCAAAAACCATTATATGAGTATGAAATAAACTCTTTTATTCAAAAATATACATGCTTTCTTGATCTCTCAGTGTGTTACCAGCCTGGGGAATGCTTAGTAAGGGAAGATGAGGACAATGACGCAAAACCAATTTTGACAAAGGGGAGGAATTTGAATAAAATTTCAAATTTGAAGGGCTTTTTAGTAATTTCTTGAAATAGGAAGGTATCCCTAATTAAAAAAAAAACAAAAAAAAATATAGGGGAAGCTATTGATAATTTCCCCCGAAATTAAGTTCACTACTACTTTTTCAAGAAAGGATTTAAGTATACTTACTTCCAAATATTCATCCATTCCGTATTTAGAACCTTCTCGTCCAAGCCCCGACTGTTTGACACCTCCAAATGGAGCCACCTACATAGTAATATGATACGAAAACTTAGTGATTGACATTAAAAGAACAAATGAAAAAGCAGTTTGTTAGTGGACGCAATTACATGAAACTCACCTCAGTTGAAATTAGCCCTTCGTTAACACCAACAAGTCCATATTCGAGGGCCTCAGAGACACGCCATGATCGTTGAATATTGTTTGTAAATATGTAAGCAGCTAACCCTGTATATGAGTATCAGACATGGTTCACTTCATTAGACAGAACTTGGTTTTACAGATGCAATAATCTCAATTTTCTGTATAGTTTCTGTTCAGACAGAACAAATATACCTGCTGTGGTGTCATTGGCAATGCGGATGGCATCCTCCTCAGTTTTGAACCGCAAAAGGGGCGCTACAGGTCCAAATACTTCCTCTCTGAACCAAACCAAAATGGCAAGTGTGTAAAGGGTCAGAGAACATAATTTATAGAACCGAAGGAATATGCTGAGTCAAGCACAACTAGACCACAGAATATAATACCAAAAAGCATTCAATAAAAGTAATGCTAGGAAACCAAGTCATAAAAAAGTGGTGGAAAAGCACTCTTTCTCCACGGGAAATAAGCAGAGAAAAATTTGGCAGCAAAAATGCGGAGTAAATTGTGACAAACATTTATAAATCACACATTAGGGCATCGACCTACAAGCTAGTTGGTACATATCCATTACTAAGGATGAAAAGCTCGAAAGATAAAAATGGTGCTAATTTGAAAAAACCTTGACCTCCATTTATAAGTTCATTCAAGGAAAAAGAAAAATAAAATAAAAATAAAAAACACACACATGTTCGGCAATTGATCCGTTTGGGATTGCTTTTAGGAAGGTGCTTTGGCTAGGTTACGAACAGTGAATGCATATGGTAATTGGCATAGCAAAAACTTGAATAAATTACCTTGATATAAGCATGTCATTATTGACATCACTGATAACCGTCGGTTCGTAAAAAGTCATTCCTAGACTGTGCCTTCTCCCTCCAAGTATAACTTTGGCTCCCTACAAGGAACACGATAACAATGAGAAGAAAGTTAAACAACTTGTTAACCAGATAGTACCTTTTGACCAAATGCAAGAAATACAGACAGACGAGTTGTATTTAACTTATGGTTGGGTGTAAATGCTAGGTACTGGGAAATCATACAAATATAAATAAATAGCCACAAGAACAGTTAAAAAAGAAAGAAAGAAAGAAAGGAAAAAAAATAAAAAATAAAAATTACTATACTAGCAACCACATCCAAATGAAATGCCAGAAACTAACCTTTGAGGTAGCATCTTGGATAAAAGATTCTACCTATAATTGAAAATGCCAAAGTGTGAGTCAACAAATAAAGCGATTGGACAGATCAAAGAGAGCAAAATTCAGAAAGCAAAACAAACCTTTTGTACTGCAGCTTCATTTATGAGAGGACCCTGAGAGCAAATTAATTATTTAGGCTAAGAATATAATAATTGATGTTAAATGACTGCCTATTGAAGGACAAAAAAGAACAAGTTATCAACAAAATAAAAAAAAGTATCATAAGCACTACAACTAGTGTAGTTAGAAAAATCATGTCATAAAAGATTGGGTTATTAGGATTTAGGAGTTAGGCGGTACGCCAACACTGATTAAGCTAACTCTTCAAAACGGTCCTGACATGGGCTAGAGCCTAGAAAAAAGATAAATTGGAAAGGCATATGCTCAAACATTGAATGGCAATCATGATACATGTCACTTTTAACTTAAACCTCAACAAAAGAGCCTTCTAAGAAGATCTGCACTTGTAGGGTGATTTTAACTTGAATACCAAGTTAAAGTACCATTTTCCCAAAAGCTTAACACGTAAAAGAGGTGGACCAACATTGATTTTCACATACTAGAAACAATTTGTACAATGTACATAATTTAGATAACTGAAAGGACGACCAAGAAATCTAACACAAAATGCATATGCTTACTTGGGCCACACCATCACTAAAACCATCTCCAACTTGCAGATTTTGGACAGCTTTTGAAAACGCATTAGCAAACTTTTCATAGATACCTGCACAAGAAAGTATGTTAACTTGAAAGAAAAAGAACTAAACTTTAAAAAGATAAACACAATTAGCCTTGAATGAAAACAGAAAAATGAATCAATAAGACAAATTCAAGTCGCGTCCTGATTCTTAATTTTGGTTCTATTTCATTTTGGAGCCAGTTTGAGCCACCAGGGTGTGTTTCTATCTGATTTGGGGCGCTTTTCCTAATTATTGAAAGTATTCGTTTAGCAGAAAAGGGAAAAGAAAGAACTGATTAGAGAAGTTTTTAAACCATATAATAAGCATGAAGCTCATCTACCTTCTTGCACCAGGATCCTGTTTGCACAAACACATGTTTGTCCAGTATTGCGAAATTTTGCTGCAAGCTGCAAAATAATTTAACGGTTCATCACATGATTTACTGAAATACCCCTGAACTAATAATACCAAATGGACAATACTCCTGAAATGAAAAATAAAACCACAAATGCCTTACTTAGAACAAAGGGTCATTTAAAACAAAGATTCCAAGAGCTTGATGAAAATATTTTACTGTTGAACATTTTTTTTTTATAAGAAAAAAGAATTTATTTATAAAACCAATAATAACAGTCAACAATTACACGAAAGGAGGATAAGGTATCCTCACTGCTAGACAAAAATAAAACTTAATACCTAGCAATACAACAAATTAAAAGCCTATCACATCTTTCCAATTCATATCAATCAAAGAGAAAGGAAAACCCTTAAAGGCTTTATCAGTCGACGCCCACAAAGAGACTGTAAACTTTGCTTTCTCAAATAAGTCTGTGATGTCCATCTCCCTTTCATCAAAAATTCTGGAGTTTCTCCCCGGCCATAGAGTCCATAAAACTGACAGCACCAAGCTGTTCCACAGCACTTTACCCAACTTATTCAATTTTAAGCCTGCCAAATCTTCCTTCAAAACCAAACTGCAATGAGCTGAAAAAACCCAGGAAAAACTGAATTCAAATAATAAACTCTGCCAAACCGACCTTGCCACCGGGCAATGTAACAATAGATGGTCTATGGACTCGTCACTACCTCTGCAAAGAACACCCCAAGAAGGGGATAGAAACCTATGGGGGTTTCTCTTATGCACCAAATCACAAGTATTCAATTTCCCAAGTGCAACCAACCAAGCGAAGACTTTAATTCTATGGGGGGACACAAGATCTCCATATGAATTGAAAAGAAAAAGAGAAAAAGAACGACATGAAAAACCCTCAGGATCACACAACCAAATTCTTTGATCAGGCCTAGAAGGCTGAAAAGGGGAAGAATTGATTAATTGAAGAAGAGAATAATCCTATGCTTCCCAACCATTAAGACCTCTTCTAAAACCAAGATTCCAGTTCGGATCCTCGTTCTCAGATTGTGAACGAATTTGTGGGACGAAAGCATTAGGACATGCTGAAATTCTAAATAGACGAGGGAACAAAATTTCTAAAGACTCATTATCACACCACTTGTCTTTCCAAAACAATATTTTAAACCCATTCCCAGCTCTCAAATTTTGTGTTTTGAAGGAAAGAAACCAGCCCCTGAGAGATGAATTTCCATGGATTCCTAAATGATCCCCTAGTCACTAGGTTCGAATCCCAACCATTCGGTTTCAGCCCATATTTACTCCTGAAAACTTTAGCCCACAAACAATTTTGTTCCAAAGGGAATCTCTAAAGCCATTTCCCTAACAAAGCTAAATTCTTCTTCTTCAAATTCCCAATCCCTAGACCACCCTTCTCCTTACTTCTTGGCTCTTGGCACAACATCCCAAGCCATCATCATTCTTTCCAAAACAACCACCACCGTCATTCTTTCCAAAACATCCACCACCGAACCAGGCATCCTTGTCGTATATTAAAAAGAGGAATTATATTCATCAATCTAAATATTACAGCAGATGTAAGCAATATATACAACAACCCAATAAACCCAAAAACCTATTAATTCTACTTCTCATCGTTCTCTCCCGAAAGTTGGACCAAATAAATTGAGAGTTTGATAACAATAAAATGATCTAAATTCCTCATACTTACGGTGCTCCTTGACTCCAATGATAGTTCCCAATAAACCTAGCCACATTAAAATCCTCCTCCCCTCCCCCCGAACACACACTTCCCAATTTGGCACCTCATCATCTTCTCCATTGATGTTTGCAAATCTTCTAAGAATCATGCCTCCAATATAGCATCCTTGAGTCTTTTCATTATTTTTTACGTTGACGAGGCCGAGATGTATTCTATTCCCTGGACATGGAACTTCCAGCATCGGATGCATGAGACCCTCCTAAGGACCTTTCATTTTTAACTTTGTGTACTGTAGAAAAGTCTGATTCAATGCTTCTCGAGCAATTTCCAGAAGTCCTCCGCAAGAACCTCCAACAATCTTGAGACAATGGACGTTCCAGAGATTAAAATTGAAATTGTTCGACCGTTAATTTTCAGAGGACCATTACCTGTTCCACAATGCAAAATGAGATCCTCAGTTGTTGCATATTGGCTATGTCTTAAATTATTTGGTCATAATCGTCTCCTTCGACAACATATATCTAAGATGAGTGTGACAGAAATACGTACGTTAAGATGGATGAGTGGCCATATGAGAATGGATCGCATAAGGACTGAAGTTATTCGTAGTAAAGTAGGTGTAGCACCAATAAAAGATAAGGTGCGCGAAGGCCGCTTGAGGTGGTTCGGGCATGTCCAACGTAGACCGCTAGAAGCACCGGTTCGTGCTTGGGAGGACATTCTTATACCTAATACTAGGAGAGGGAGGGGTAGACCAAGAATTACGTGGACCGGTTCGTGCTTGGGAGGACATTTTTATTGCTAAAGTAGTGATTCTTGATTTCTACAGTTTGGTCCTTTTTCCCTTTGGTCTCTGCGTCAAAATTAAGAGAAGGCATACGAGGTTGATTATTGCCCGAATTTTGTTGGAATCCCCATGAAAAATCTGCCCCACTATAAATCCTCTTCTCTTGGCCACAAAAGCATCCCTTCTCCTGTTGTTTGATGTTTGGCTTCCATATATGTTTTAGAATGGACGGGCTCATAATTACAGGCCCAAACCTTCCTAGGGTTTTTGGAATTAGAAGAACTAGGACAATCATAAAGCCTTGTCTCGCTCGCTAGGCTTTATTGCCCTAGTTAGTTCCGAATGGGCTCTACAGTTTCTATAACTTTTAGTCTGAGGCACATTCTCATAGACTGATCCATTGTCGACCCAATAGCTTTCCACCGACCGTTCCACTCCCGATTCCTCCCCCTCATCCTCCCACCAATTTAACACGTTGTATCTATTGCTAGTCACCTTCCTCTTATATGGAGAACCATCACATGACTTCTCCATCGGTATTTGAACCGCCAAATCTTCGGTATCGCACTCAAAATAAGATTATTCTATCAAAGCGCGACCCTTATCATTCTCCCATTTCCCGATTGTCCTCGATTATGATCTTTTCTAGTGTTCCTCCACGTGTTTGGAACCCGTTGGCCTCTTCCTTTGAATTTTCCATGTCATCATCTTCTCCCTCAGATTCGGCAGGCGCCCATGACCAAGCACCTTTGTAACTTTCTAAGATTTGAGGTTTCAAGCTTGCGTTCAAATTAAAGATGCTTATCCGAACAGTTTTACCCCAACATAGTATATCCATGGTCACCGAAATAAATCCGTTAGCCCACAGTATGTCCATGGTCGATAAACTGTAAACCTTACCTTTTTTTTAAAAGAAAAACTCCTTTTATTTATTAGTGAATCAAACACAAAGTATAGAGGACAGCATATCCTCAGACAACAATTTATAAAAAATAAAAATAAAAAAACAAAACAAAACAAAAACAAACAAAAAAAACAAAACAAAAACAAAACAAAACAAAACAAAAAACAAAAAAAAACAAATGGACAGATAAACTAAAGAAAATTTCAAAGTAAAACTTTTGAATAATTTATTCGTTGACGCCTACAAGGAAGCTGAGAAGTTCGCCTTCTCATAATTGTTAACTTTACTAACTAACAATAGCTGTCTTTTAAATAAACAAGTTAACAATATTGGAATGATAACCAAGTTATCTGAATTAATGCAGTATTAACTTGGCTCCAAAATCAACCTTCCACGGAGCAATTAAAGCCTTGTTCTTTTCACAACTCAAGTTCTATTGTTACGGTGTTTTCTCTCACAAAAATTCAAATTAAACCTTTTGCTAGTATTTTTCTCTCTTAACTTGAGTTGTGAAACAAACATATCCTAATACTAATCAAATGATCAACCAAAAAGGAGAGGGGAAAAAAAACTGCAGATAATAAGAATAATAATGATGATGATGACAATGATGATGATAATAATAATAATAATAATAACAACAACAACAACAACAACACCAGTAATAATAATAATAAAAGAGAAGGGAGTGTAAAAGCTGGAGGGAACAAAATGCAACATATTTAAACAAAGACTTTAACTTACTGCTCCTTTTACTGCCACGTCCACATCTGCATCGTCAAAAACTATGCAAGGTGCATTGCCACCAAGTTCCAGAGACACCTAAAAAAATTCGAGAAACAAAGGGTATTAACTACTTTTTTTTTCTTGACAACAGGAAACTTCATTGATCAAAAAAGAGTACAAAAGTTTCAGGATGGATGAGAAATCCATCTAAAGCAGAAATAAAAAGTCTAAAACAATATAAAAATACAAAGCTCAGCTAAAGAAAACTACAAAACAGAACTGAAAATACGTTGAATCCTTAGGTTTTTGGGATCTGTTTACATATATATCTGTGTGTGTGTGTGTGTGTGTATTAAGAAATGAGAATTTCATTTTCTTATTACACACACACGAAGACAACAATAAGTGAAAGGAGAATGAGGTATCTCCCATAATCCAGATCAGAAGGGATATCAAAACAAAAAGAACCATTTGAAAAACATTCTTCCAACTTAAAGATTCCGCCAAAAAAAAAAGAAAAGAAAAGAGAGAGAGAGAGAGAGAGGAGGAGAAGAAGAAGTCTGAAAAATACCCTCATAAAAGTATAACTATTTTACTCCAAACAAAAGAGATGATAAAGCCAAAAAATGTAAACATCAACAACCGATCTTCTGCTAAGACCATAGTATAACCATTGGCTTTCTGGGCCAAAACAGAAAGATATCTTAGCGGAAAAACCTATTGAAACCTGTTTCATAAAAAACCAACTCCAGCCTATGACAATGACATATGACCGCATTTTTCCTCTTCATGTGGGGCTTTCTCTTTCATGCCAAAAAGAGTCTTGCTCCAAGGAGAATTAGCCATTTCCCTAATATAGCCAAATCAACGATTTCTAAAGCTTCATTACTCTAGATGTTTATTAACAGTACGCCCTTGGCTTACCTTTTTAACAGTCCCAGCGGCACCTGCCATTAATTTTTTTCCAACTGCAGTTGAGCCTGTGAAGGTGATCTTCCTTACCTGATTGGATGAACAAACAAGAACACAAATAAGCAACCGCAGCATGAAAAGAGGATGGGCTATGCACGAAGGGTACCAAACCTGTGGACTTGCAAGCAAAGCATTCCCGATATCAGGAGCATTTCCCATAACAACATTGACAACGCCCTGTGTCATAAAACAGAAAGCCGAGGAATCAAATTTCATTATCTAAAACACAATATTATAAAGAAATTATCAAAAAAATAAATAAAGATCAATGTTCTTCAGGCAAGAAGACAGTCTATTTTTTCTTGGATCAAGAAACACAGCCACCAACAAATACGAGAACAGAATTAGAAGTCCTTAAGGAGCATGACATGTATTAATATTTATACATCAGCTATGAGTCATCAAATATATATACACATTATTAATGTATAACAAGAGCACACAAAATACTTGAAGAAACAAAGTTACTAAATTATTGACATAACAATATTCTACTTCTGCGGTGCCATCCGTACACGAACTAAATCTGAGATAATGTGCATCATAGAATATCCTCCCTCCTTTTCTTTCAAAGGCTAAAAGGAAGGAAAGAATGCAAAAAAACAAATGCAGGACAAAGAGAAGAAAAGGAAAAATAAAAGACATACAACCAATTGGAATTCTCTTTTCTTAAAAATCTACTCAAATCTGGATAACGTATCCGAAGTCCATTATTCAAGTGTCACTTGTTGATTTTTTTTGATAAAATGAAGATGAAGTTTCCAATGTTTGAACCTTCTAACTTTATTTGGATATCTAGTGTTCCCCATCAAATAAAGGTTTTCACTTGGCTGGTTTTTCTTAGAAAATTAAATACTTGTGACAGGGTACAAAGGAAGAAAGCTCAGTTGGTTGTCTCTCCCTCCTGATGTGTCTAGTGTAAAGGGGATTGAGGAAACTATTTATCATATTTTCTTTCACAGTTGCACTGTAAGGTGGCTAGAAGGTAATGGGAGAAGTTGTTGCAGGAAGCGGGTTTTGTGTGGGCTTTCCCTGCTCATTCTAATTCATTTATGATGGAAAACACTACGGACTTTGGGTCTAATAAAATGGCAAAAGTACCTAGGAAATGCACAATGATCTCAATGTTTAGAAGGATCAGCATGGAAAGTAATTCAAGGATATTCAAAGATAAAGAAAGGGAAGTCCCAAATTTCTTTGAGAAAGCTAAGTTTTCAGCCGCCTTATGGACTTCTACAGACAGAGCCTTCAAAGACTCCATTTTACTTATTGTTCATAGTTGGAGGGATGTGATAGGTCATTAAATTGGTGTTTTCTCCGTGTGTCATAGCTCTTTCTAGATGTGTTCCCTTGCTTGGACTAAGGACTTTATTCACTATCACAAACCTTAGCTGTTGGAGCTTCTTACATGTGCATTTGCTTCTAATTGATTGACCAGAAAAAAATGTGATTACAAACATTTTCAGAGAAGAACCCTTTAAGCTAGTAGTACTATAATATAACTCTCAAGTCCCAACAATGACGATAACAGACAAAAGATTACTAGCATAATGTAGAAACCTCTTCAGAAAGGACTATTTCAATTTAAACAACAAGGCCAAAAACCAATTAGCATGTTTGTGATGAAATTACCGGCGGTATTCCAGCTTGAAGAGAGAGCTCAGCTGCTGCTAAGGCTGTAAGGGGTGTTAATTCAGATGGTTTTATGACCACGGTACAGCCACAAGCAAGAGCTGGACCAACCTATCAAAGTGAGAAAGAGAACATCAATTTGAAAACAAAGGTCATGCACTGAAAACTCATGCTTTATTTATGAAAAATCTACATTTTAATACATCATATTCAAACCTTTCGAGTAATCATTGCCAGCGGAAAATTCCATGGTGTAATTGCACCGACGACACCTACAGGCTGCAAAACAGGAATAGTCATGACCTCACCTTACAAGTGGGAGGTCTTGGGTTCGAGTCCCCTTGGGGTACCTCCCTCAGTTTGTCCCGGTGTGTTTGGATAGAAGAGTTTACACACACCCTTAGAGTTAGAGATTAGTCAGGTGCTCAAAGGGGTCAAGATACCCTAGGTTATTAAAAAAAAGAAAATGATAACTCCACCAGAAGGGCAGTCAACAAAACACATTCAGTTGTCGTTAACTAGTAATGACGATCATTTCTTGTATGGAGACTTGCAAAGAATGCAGGGACTAATAAAGAAATAGCTAATATCACGTTCATTCTTTTGAAGCAAATGAAATTTTCAATGTGATCTGTTCCACAAGAGTTCATTTCAACTCTGGGTGCTTGCACTTAACCGAAAACATCAAAGGCAAAGGAGACAAAGTTAACCCGGTAAAGAAGATTTTCTAGCCTTTTGAGTAGACCAATTTCTACTTTTCATTCTTCTCTTTCTAACTTGCTAGTTGGAAGCACGTGTTAGGCATGTTTGTATTCAGTTTGTTGAATTTTTTGGAGGCATCAATATAAAATTTTTTAGATTTTATTTTTGTATTAATTTATTATTCTCTCAAGAGTTTTTAGTAGATTTTGTAGTCAATTAATAAGAAAATAAACTCTAAGGAGAAAAAAAACTAAAGGTTCATTAACTATTCTCACCTAAAATTAATGACAAAAAAAAAACTTTTTTTTTTTTTTAGAAGAAAACTCTCTAGATAGATGAATCAAATACAAGGGAAAACAGGATAAGGAATCCTCTGGAAGGCCAAAAAAGAAAAACAAAACATCTAGAAAGAGCTATCACACAGAAAAAAATACCAATCTGGTAAAAATTATAGTTGTTTCTAACCTTTATAAAAATTGAATCAATAAATGGAAGTGCATATATATTTCACTTAACAAACAACTTAAAAGAAGTTAATACGAAAAAACCAGAAAGGACTAGAAGTCCTTAGAAACAACAGACAAAGCTAGCGAGGAACAAAGAAAATAAAGTGTTAGCACCTAGCTCAAAACAGCCGCAAGAAGAAATGAACGCGAGAGAGAGAGAGAGAGAGTACTTCGCTCCAGTCTTGTTGAGCAATCAATTTGAAATTTGAAATCTATATATTTTCCCAAGCTGGCAATCACCTTCGTAGCAATTATAATTTTCTTCATACGTGGCCATATTTCTTCGACTATTATTGTGATCCTTGTTTTCTTCTCTTACTTTATGTTTCCATGTTCCAGCGCTACTCTTTTTTAGAGGGCAAAAAAAAATCAATCTAAATCAATCATACTGATTCATATCTATCCCGCAACTTTGACATGAATATTGATGACATATTTGAAACCTCAGCCTTCAAATAGTTTGGTAGAACATCAGGACCAGTACCCAACACAGTAAAATATAAGCTATTCTAGGACAACTCGACTCTGCAAACAATGTCATACATCCATATGGCAATTTCTTTTTTTTTTTTTATGTATACGTTTCTTCTGCACGCATACATACATTGCTTAGCAAATAACTGTTGATGAGTAAGTAAACTTGCACTTATTGATTATTAGAGAGTTCAAACGTCAAAAATATACAATATCAAAATACCTGCTTCAAAACAAATAGCCGCCTATCAGCAAGAGCTGGTGGAATTATATCACCATATATACGTTTTGCCTCCTCAGAAAAGAACTCAAGGAAACCAGCTCCGTAGCTGATCTGGAAGATAGAGTATGTGAATATCACGTGATATTTAAGATACTCTATATTTTAATTCAATACTTTAGATGGATACCTCACCCAAGGCTTCTTTTAAAGGCTTTCCTTGCTCCAAGGTTATGAGTTGTCCAAGCTCTTCCTTATGGGCAACTAGTAGATCGTACCTTGAAACAAGGGACAGGATAAAAATATGGTGAGATTGTGAAACTTCTCGACATCCGAATGCAACAATGTTGAGATTTTCTTTAACCATTATACGAATACAAATAAAAAACTATACACTGTCTAATTTTAAAAAGCAAATCGACAGTTCTGACTTTTCCTTGTAATTCCCAAGTGCAAACAGAGCAAGAAAGAAGTTTGCACTTTAAGAAAGAAGGAATAGATAGTATTGTAGCAGAAAACTATGAGACACTTACTATCTTCTATCAAATGTTTCAATTGCCAAGAAAAGAGGTATCATTATATAGGAAACAACTACAAGCCGCCTTTCATGTCTTTTAATCAGAAAAGAAAAAAAAAAACCGAACAACATAAGATAATTTTTATCCACCAAATATCTATGACGAAATTAATATCCAAATATTAAACCAATTACAATAGTTAAATATAGGACCCAAACCGAACAAGTTTTGGGCCCAACAAGGAGACCATGCAATAAGGCCTTGTTCATTTCATGACTCAAGTCATATTGCTACAGTGTTTTCTCTCCTATAAATTCAAATTCAACTTTTTTGTTATAGTGTTTTTCTCTCACATACACAACCCAAGTCATGACTTGAGTTGTGCACACCCAAAAAGTATCGACTTCAAAAGTCAAAGACTGATCACAGTTGCTTCGGTATATTGTTGTCAATCTTTAGAGCTACAAATGTTAAAGCATTTACAATGTCAAAGAAAATGAATGAATTAGTAACATAGGATACAAAATTGTGGACCTGCAACCATACCATTTCCTCAGAGATTTGCTCCTCTCGGTAGCAGTAAGTTTGCTCCAAGCTACAAGAAATAAATATTGAAATGAATAAACAAATATTACAAGATCATTCTTAATTAAACAAAAGAAGAATTTTGTTCACAAAATAAATCAAAGATCTGATTCAAAGTTTAAATTATTATTCTAATGAATTGGTGACATTGCTTAAAAGTTCCTTACCATTTAGCTCACATTGGCAATTCCAAAAGTATGAGAAAAATACATTCTTTTAGGTCAATATATTCCCATTTCATTTTTTTAGCAAGAAAAAGCCATACTGCGTAACAAACTAATTTCACTTCAAGGAAATAGATATCATTCAAGAACCTAACTTGTATTTGAGCTCTATGAAGTGTACAGTAGAATGATAACTTGTCAAATTGGATTATTAGTTAGTGATAGAGATTTATACTACTTGGAAATCTTAATTTTCTAACAAAGTTAAGATTGCCTATCCAATAAATAGGATTCAGAAATTTTAACATTTCAAGATTTCAATGGTATAAAATATCAGATTTATTCTGTCCATTGATTTTCTCTCCCTTCCCCTGATTCTTACATTCTTCTAACATTTCTTCTCTTGTTTATCTCTATTCCACTATCTACATTCGTGCGCCCCTCTTGCCCCTGCATCACATTGCCACTCTTGATCTCTCATACAATGGTTCAATACCAAGAATTAAATGACCACATAATAAAAGAGAATGACTGGGGTGAAAACATTTCTAATCTATGTGACGTTTGGTTTGAAGGTTCAAACTAGGGTTGTTTGAACCGTGTGGGTTTTGAATTGTGGGATTTGAACTTGGAGTTCAAACTGTGAGTCTTTGGGCTTGAACCATGTGTGCTTTGAACCCCAGCCAAAACCACAGGGAGAGTTGGTTTTTATTTTTTAGGCTTAAGCAGAGTTAAATCATCACATCAGGAATCAAACCTTGATTTTTTTTTCTTTTTAAACCAAACATTGGTTCTGTAGGGTTGAGTTCAAACCACTTTTTACTTTTTATAAACAAACACTGGTTTGAACCTAAACTAGGGTCAGGTTCAAACCATGAGAATTCTCAAACCAAACATACCCTAGTTTTTTTGTTTTATCTTTTAGGTTAGAGGTACACACATTACAGCACTTTGTACAGAACTAGAGTCATCCTATACCTAATACTACAACACATTGCTAATAAAAGAAATTGTAGACTTGTAGTATACACTTTGACTCAACTTAAAAATTGTGAGAAGTGAAGGTCTTATGGGTAAACAAATTAAATTACCCTTGATAGTTTTTTGAGTAATCTGAAAGAATCTGTGAGTATCCTAGCCTTGTGGACAATAGATTGAGATGAGCATCAATTTTCTTTAGACATGACATGCGAAAGCAGGACAATGGTGTAATGACTGTGTTAATCAATAAAAAGTCCCTTACAATTATATGCATTGTATGCCGAAGATATTGCATCATTTGTTTCCTTCTGGCCCATGCACGAAACATCTGCTATAACTTCACCGGTTGCTGGATTGCGAACCTGCCATTGCCCATGAAAAGACACAGGAATTATGTTTGGAACAAATTAAAACAAAACAAAACAAAAAAAACCTGAGACCCAAAGTGGCATGCAGAGAGACAGAATGGTGAAGGAAACAAAAAGGAAAAGATCAAGCTTTTGTAAATCTATAGTGGATGATTTGGATAAATCCGTTGATTTACTACACATTAAATAATGGATTTCCCTAGGGGGAGATGGAGATGGGACACGAATCGACTGGAGAAGGCTAATGATTTACACGGTAAATAATTGATTTACCATATAAATTAATTTTAAAAAAGCAGTGAATAATAGACTTATGGCCAATTTCCTCAATCCAGAAGAGCTGGCCTTTTATTTTCAGCTACCAATTGCCATTGTAAATATTGCAACAAATCAAAATCAAAATAGCAGATGAGAAGATGACGGACACTAATCAAAATCCTAAACAAGAAAGCAAACAAGCATACAGCAATGACGAAAACTGCATAAGATATAGCTAAGATGGACTTAAACAAATTACAATAGTAACAACAAACAATAACTTAGAAAACCTTTCATATTAACAATTTCAGTGTCTAAAAACAAGTAATAATTAGGCAATTAAGATAAAGAAAAACCATGAAGTAGCCCATCGGGCTCAAAGAAAGTCAAAAAACATATCTGCCAGACCTCTATAGTTTTCCCATCATATGCGTCTGTCCATTTCCCACCAATAAGGCCTTGGGTACGTAAAAGACCAGAACTTTTTAGCTGAGAAGCAACACTCTTGGCGTCCATTGTTATCTGCCACGCAATCCCACATTCACTTGTTAATGAATCCATGCCTGCAACATTATACATATACACACACGCATATATATACAAGATGAATAACAAGATTTGGGCAACGAACCCCACTGCCAAGAGATAGCTCAAGCGCATACTCATTTTGCATAGAAATTAACCATACTTAACTTTTGTATGCGTACATATATCTATAAATACATGTATATCACCTTTTCCTAAAATAATATGAGCATCTAAGCTTGTATCCAATTACGACTAATAATTATATGCAATTAAGATCATAACGAGAACATTTCAGACAAAATGGAGATGAAGACGATGGTAGTTTTAGGATCTTGGACTAATAAGCTAAACAAAAACAAAGCACGGACACTTTTATAGAATTCTTGAAAATTGCGATGTTCAACATCAAATTTCACTTGCTAAAAAAAGAGATTGCTTTTGCACTCAAGAAATTCGTATACATACACTAGCATTTAATCATCAAATATCGATACCAAGAAAAATTCAGATGAAGCACAGTTTATTACACAAATAAAATTTCAAAAATTCACATATATCGATCAGAGAAGAGGCGATTACTTGCCAGAGTTGTTGTTGTTGAAATCGGAGAGAGTTTTAGAGTGATATATTATATGTATATATGTATATACGTATGTATATGTATATATATAATATATAATATATAGTGATACCTGGCGAGTGAAGAGAGCAGAGCAGTGGATAAAAGGGAAGGAAGAAGCGGAGTTGAAGGATCGAAGAGACACGCCTAGTGCCGCTGCTAACGTCATCTTCTTCTTCTTCTTCTTAACTTCAAATCAAAACAAAACAAAACAAAAACACTTGTAAAAGAAGCCCTAATAATCTAATCTTTAGTATTCTTCCTCCTCCTCTTCTTCTTCTCGTAATACTATAATTATTATTAGTTGAGAAATTTTAAAAAGATCAAATGACACTCTTCTTCTTCACTCGCTCCTTCATTCAAATACCACCCACTCACTAATCCGCCATTCATACTCAACTGTTTTCCCAATTTCTTCCCCTTTTTCTCGGGGGAATTTTTCCTGAATTTGACCTGAAATGCCTAAAATACCCTAAAATTAAATAATAATAATAAAAGAGTAAAAACAAAGGAACAAAAAACAAAAAAAAATATCTCTCTTTAGAATTCGTTCTAAAATAATTTTATTTTTTATATAAAAATAAAAATAAAAATATTTTTAATCTCAGACAGAAATTATTGACATAAATTATTTTTAAAAATGCGTTTAGTAGTTTTATCGATAGATTATTTTTAGTATAAAAAACTCATTAATGTATCTCTCTCTGCTCGAGAGAGGAGAAAACGAAAACAAAAAATAAAAAATGACTACCTGTTTGTTTTCATTTTCGAAAACATTTTTCACGTTTTCTGAGGATAAAAAATTGAAACCGGTAGAAAGAAAGTGTTTGGCCCAACACTTTACCAAAATTGAAAACAAAAACGTTTTTGTATTTTTCCCAAAAACTATCACTTTTCTGAAAACGAATTAAACTCGTTTTCATTTTCTCTATTTCCATTTTCTCTCTTCTTCGTTTTCTGCCCTTTACCGGTCTCGACGCAGTACTTCAGGCGATCAGCTCCGTTCTCTTCTCGCCTGATCAACTCTGTTCTCTTCTCGCCCGATTTGCTCCGTTCTCCTCTCGCCCGATCAGCTCTGTTCTCCTCTCACCCCGATCAGCTCCGTTCTCTTCTCGCCCGATCAGCTATGTTCTTTTCTCACCCGATCTACTCCGTTCTCCTCTCACCCGATCAGCTCCGTTATCGTCTCGTCCGATCAGCTTCGTTCTCTTCTCGCCCGATCAGCTTCGTTCTCTTCTCGCCCGATCTGCTCTATGCTCTTCTCACCCAATCTGCTCCGGTCTCTCTTCTCTGATATGGGTTTTTAGTTAGAGTTTGAAGAGATCTTCGATTCTCTGCGCCGCCCGTACTCCCCCAAATCAACCGACTCTGCGCCGCCCCAACTCCCCCAAATCAGCCAAGGTATGCCCCTAATCTGGTTATTGTCACTTTAGGTTGGTATTTTTTATGATTTACTGATAATTTGCTAAGTATATGAGGTTGGATGGTTTTTAGTGGTTCAGGTTGTATGTCGAGACATCTGTTTAGGTTGGAGTATTGCTTATGGTTTTTAGTGATTTTTAGAGGTTCTGATTTGCTTATGTTTAGGTTGTGTGCCGGTTGGGTGTTTTTTTCTTCATTTTGCTGATATGTGTGTATTCTGGGGTTTATGTGTGTGATATGTTTATATGAGCATTGCCGGTTGGGTGGTTATTGTTATCACTGATGGTTGGATGAAATAGTGGCCATTGTATGAGGTTGATACTTAGGTTGGAGTATTGCTGAATGGAACTTTGCTTATGTTTAGGTTTAAGGCCGGTTGGGTGTTTTTTTTTTTATTTTGCTAATATGTGTGTGTTCTAGGGTTTATATTATATTAACTATATTAATTTGAGCATAAGGCCCGTGAAATGCCTTGCGTTGAAATAGTTGCAGACATACTAGATCATATGTGAATAAATTTGTGTATATAGTATTGCATATATATATATATATATAATGTATCATCTTTCTTTACATTCTGTCTGCTTGATCAAATAGAAGCATATGAGATATTCGCATACACACACAAACAGAGGCCTTGTGTTCTGGTGTTCTGGTTTTTTTATGTTTATGCTACGTGTTGTGGTTTATGTGGGATTGAGGAGTGTGTTCTAGGATTTTTATGTGTGTTTTGGGGTATATTTCTCTATTTCTATTTGGTTTTGGATCCAAAATTATTGTTTATGCTAGTGGTGACATTCATGAGTATTTTTTATAGGCATGAGTTAACGATGTATGCTGAATGTTTGAAATATGTGTGTTTTTGTGTGTATTCTGTGGTTTAGAAATGTTTTTGCATTTGATTTTGGACCCCTTTTTGTTGTTTATGCATTTGGTGACATTCCTGATCAATGAACCATAGGTGAGATTGATTCCTTGCTTCACTTTCACCCAAAAAAAAAAAAAAAAACATTTTCATAAACCCAAATAAACCAAAAAAAATCACCAAGAAAAAAGTGACTTGTTTTGATGTATGAATAGTTATCAGTGTATGGTTGCTGTGAAATTGGAAATATGCAAAAAAGTGATAAGGATGGTTGCTTTGATTTCTTTTAATGTTGAATGAAACTGTTCTTTTAGATGTGTGATAAGGATGAGAAGACAAAATGACCTACTACAATTGAGGATTTTTATATAGAACTGATATACGAGGAGTCAAAGAAAGGTCTACATACGTCCACTTTGGACAAAAAAAATGTGGATGAAAATTAATAATGTAATAGCATGTAAGTTTGGTAAGCATTTCACATTAGACCAGCTTAAAGCAAAGTGGAATAGGCTTAGACGTAGTACGAGAGAGTTTTAGTCTTTGATTGAAACAATAGGGTTTGGTTGGGATTATGAGGCTAACACTGTGACGGCTGAAAAAGAAGTGTGGGATTCGTATGTGGCGGTAAGTTTTGATCATAATCATCTTATGTGATATGAAATAGTTAAATTGGTATTTTTAAATTGCACACAAGTATTTATTATTATTTTATTTATAATGTCAGAAAAATCATGATGCTAAGAAATTCAAGAATGAGGGTTTACACAACTTTGCCCAACTTTCAGAGATTTTTGTTGGGACTATTGCTACTGGAAAGGGGTCAATGAATAAACATACAGTCGTCAATGTTTTGAATGCGGCAAAAAGGGCTGCCACGCAACCAGAAGAGGAAGAGGAGGGTACAGGGGACTCGGATGAAGTCTGGGATGCAGAAGCCAATAAAAACATACGGTCTCAGGGTTCTATTACTCGATCCAATAAGAAGGGCAAGAAGAATGCTATAGTTGACGATGTTATAGAGGCTTTGGCAAAAAGTGCTACCTTACGCAGTGAGACATCTGTTCAAAAAGTTGATTTGTTTCAATAATATTTAGCTGATAGGCAAACCCGTACTATGGCAGCAGCCGAGGCTCAAAAAGAGAATCCTACTACAAGTATTGAAACCTGTATAGATTTACTGAATGAATATGAGGAGTACTTAGATGACGATGCGTATAATAAGACAGCAAAGAAATTGTCTGTTGACATTTCCTTTAGGAGGATGTTTGTGAAAATGCCTACTCATAATCATCTTTCATGGATTCAAAGCCTGTAATTTATTGGGTTATTTATTTATGTTGTTTTCTTTATTTTTTTCCTCCGATACTTGTGTTTTTTCTTTAAGTATTGTTGAACATAGGCGGATTGAGTTAAATTGGAGTTCTTTATTTGATTAATTAATGTTATATGGATGTTTGATTAGTTCTAGTCATGTTTCTTTTTTTAGGTTAACATGGATTCTGAATCTTCTGATGCTACAAATAGTGAGGATGATATCACAATTGTTGACTTTCTTCACTCGTTAGATGATGATGATGAGTCACAAAATTGTGTCCAATTGCTGATGTCGTGTACAAACAGACCAACTAGGCAACTTCGTCGTAATTCTGCATTAACTGGACGAGAATATGTTTTAGAACAATTGTATGGACATCCAAAAAATCTGTTCGAAATGTGTCATATGCACCGAGACACATTCGAAGGAATTGTTCAGTTAATTCAATACTGCAACCTATTGCCTTATTCAAGTATATCAATAGAAAAATCACTAATGACGTTCTTAAGAACGATTGCTCACTCAGACCACAATAGAGAGATATAAGATAGATTTTCTCATTATGGAGAGACAGTACACCGGCATTTTGCTACCGTGCTTATCACATTGACTACATTAGCACCTGAAGTTACAAAACCACCAAATATGAACATCGTCCCCCCAGAGATTCGACACAACCCTAAGTACCGGCTATGGTTTAAGGTACAATCTGACTCTGCTCATAAATTAATAATATGACAAATAATTTTAAATTAATCCTAACTCACACCTTATGTATTTTAATAGGATTGTATTGGTGCAATAGATGGTACGCACGTAATGGTTGTCCCACCTGTACATCGATAGACAGTCTATAAAGGAAGAAGACATTCGTGTACTCAAAATGTAATGGCGGCGTGTAGTTTCGATATGCTATTCACTTACGTCAATACCGGATGGGAAGGATTAGCTGCTAATTTTAGAGTGTTAACTGAGACTATGAGAGATCCAGAGAACCGATTCTTGGTACTACCTAACCCAAAATATTACGTTGTGGATTCTGGTTACAACAACACGCAAGGCTTTTTGGCACCATTTCATGGTTAGAGGTACCATATTCAACAGTTTAGAAACGGTAGTCAACCAACGAGACCACAATAGTTATTCAATTATTTATCACTCTTCACTACGTAATTGCATAGAGAGGTGCTTTGGGGTCTTGAAAGCAAGGTTTAAAATTCTTAGGCTTATGACCAATTATTGGATGCCAAGATAATCGCTTATACCAATTTCTTATTGTGTGATCCACAATTTAATTAAGATGCACGCGCGAGATGATCATCTATTTAGACAATATGATGTCGATTTGCCATTAGAAGATATTGAGGGAGAACAATAAGGGCAACAAGGACAACAATAGGGTATGGACGCACAAGAAGCAGAAACATCCGAAAATGGGTGGTCGGCGACAACGTAATCACATCGTTAATTTTAGGGATCATCTAGTTGATCAAATGTAGGGTTCGTATATACGGCAATAATACAAGCTAAGATTATTCACTAAGTAAATTTTTTTTTACTAATCAATCACTAAGTTATCTTATTTTAAATTATTAACTATTTATTTGTAATGTACTTTAAATTATTTTATTAATTATTAGTGTTTTTATTTGGGATTCAATTATTATTTATTTAATATATTATTATTTTAAATACTATTACACGTTTTTAAAAATTAAACCACCAAACGCAATTTCAGTTTTTTTTTAAAATTAAAATCAAATAAAACTACCAAACGCATTTTCAGAAATAATTTCAAAATGAAAATGAAAACGTTTTCATTTTCATTTTCATACAGAAAACAAAATCATTTTAGAACGAGTTTCAAACGCACCCTAAAAGTGGTTTTTCATTTATCTCTTATTTTACACTAAACTAAAAATTCATTTTTATTTTCGTTTTTTATCTTTAATTGTGTTAAACGCTGTTTTAAAATTATTTTCATTTTTTTTTCTCAAAAAACGTGAAAACAAAAACAGGAACAATTTCAAACACGGCACCATTTGCGCCTTCTTCTCTTCTTGACATAGCATATTTCTCATTGTTGGATTTCTCTGGTGTCTTGATTGCAGAAAAGTTGCGCGAGATCTGAAACGAGATCCAGAAGAAGGGGGCCGGAGAACCTCGCCATCACATTGTGAGATTTATGTGGCTGACGCTTTGGATGCCAAACGATTTGCTGTGACATTTCAACGAACAATTGGAGGGCAGACAAGCCTAAGTCAGCCATCGACGGCGGCAGCGAATGAGTGTGGGAATTGGATGAGGGAGATTTGATTTGTGGGTTTTGGTTGAGAAAGTACTGCTGGTTGAAGTGGGTCTTAAGTTTGTTCAGAAAATGGGAAGCTGGGTTTGTAGGAAATGTATGGGTTGTGCTCTCCTTTTTTTTTTCTTTTTTTTTTTCTCTGAGTGATGGAGCTAACAATGTATTTACTTATACAGAGATGTTCGAGGGAAGGCGTTGCAACTCGACGGGAAAGTAACAATAGTCATCGCATCCCGCCAAGGTGGTGGCTACAGGTCATGAGATAGATTTTGGGGGAGGGGAGGGGAATTGATTTTTTTTTTTTTTTACGTTTTTTTCTTTTTTTTAGGAATAATTTTTTCTAATTTTTAGAATTTTTTTTTCTTCTGCTCTATAAGGGTGATTTAGTCATTTCACTGGGCCAAATTGCATTAACTTTTCAATTTGTGTAATAATATTATGAATTTGTGTATTAAGTATGATCAAATATTACTTATTTTAATGACATTAAAAATTAAGGGTATAATTTTTTAATAAGCTTATACACCTTTTTTCATTAAGGTCCCATGCCCTTAAAGGAAAAAAATAATAATAATAAGAAAAGAAAAATACCCATTTACTCGGCTCCTAAGTCGCCTTGGGTCCCTATGTAAAAGCCATTAAAAAATGGTTGAAAATTGAATTGGACTATTTTCGGTTCGGTTTGTAATTTTTTTAATGGTTCAAATCGGATCGGATCATTAAAAATATATATTTAAAAAAATAAAATTTTTTAGCACTGTTGGTTAATAATTATGGACTTTTACTTAGAGTATATATTACTGTTGTTTGTAACTTTTAGAATGTTAATTTTAAAGAATCATATGCATTAAGTAACATATGATTTTATTATTTAAAAAAATAAATAAATAACACATACTAACGATTTAACTATTGGTCCTGTCTCATCTTATAAATGATCTGATTCGATTTGAATTTTTAAAAACCGTTATTAATCATCCAGTCTAAAAACTAATTGTTTGAAATCAAACCAGACCTGGACAGTCCTACCCACGGTATTGATTGCCTTTTTTGTCTCAATAAAAAAGGTGACTAATGTTTGGATCAAAACAAACATTATATTTTAAGAAATTTTAACCTTTTTAAGTAAACACTTTAAGAATTTTTTATTTTTTTTATTTTTTTTAAAAGAAGGGCATGCGTTTATTTTTAGGTAAAAATGAAGAATTTAACATAAAATTTAAATAGTAAGGTATCAATTTATTGTCCCATTTGAATTTTATTAGTTTGAAAAGTATATGTTCCACCAAAAATAAATGCTCTCTTAATTTAAAAAGGCGATCGATATTGGCTATTCACATAAATTCCCATAATATAATTAAATATAATATTTTTTATTTTACTGATTCGAGTTTTAATTTTAATTTTGTTACGATTAGAATCTCTCATATAAAATCACGTCTCAATTCAAATCGGTAAATTAAACGAGATCCATATACTTTTGTAGAATTTCTTATACCAAATTGAAAGAAGCACTCACATTCAATCCAATTGATTGATAAATGAATCCTATGAAGGTGAAAGAACTCTACTCTGCCTTGTCAAATATTTGAAAATTTCCGATGGAAGAAGTGTGAAACATATATTTGTGAAACATATAAGGGACAAGATCTGTTCAACAGAATATTTGTGTATTCTACCAAAAAAAAAACCAGAATATTTGTGAATTTTCACCCAAAAAAAAATAATATTTGTGTATATATTTACCAGTAAAAAAGGGACAATTTATATTTTGTTATAGCTTAATCAAGGACAAACATTTAAAGAGTGAGAAAAAAGAAAAAAAGAAAAAAAGAAAGAACATGATAGAAACGAGTTGCAGAAAATTATTAGAAACCGAGTACATCTTTGACGTTTGAATGGTCATCGGTCATTGCTTCTAATTCAGAAATTCTTCCATTTCCTCTCTCTTCTCTCTCTCTCTCTCTAAAACAATAATCAATTTCTCTGTTCTTCTAGAATACAATGAAAGCACGAGAGGAGAGAGAGAGCCCTGGCCGGCTTCCTTGAATAGAGAGAGAAACATCCTGTCTCTTTCCTTTTCTCCCAAAAGAAAAGAAAGTCAAAGTGTACCAAGTCTCTTCCCAACCCAAACAAAACCCTCAACAAAATCCCCAAATCAAATCTCCATAATCAAAATCCCGAAATCTCCTCTTCTTCTTCTTCTTCTTCGAATTAAGTTAAGGTTCTTCTCTGATGAGTCCGAATACGCCCACTTCGAGCTCCGGAGGCACCGGATCGGCCGATTCCTCAGCTGCCAGACGGAATTCCAAGCGACCCAAATGTAATTTCCCTTACAATTCTTCTTTTCCTTTTGTTTTTCCTATGTTTCAGTTCAATTTATGAGTGCCCAAGTCGTAACTTTGTTCCGATTTGGCTTCTATGGTTATTATGTTTATAAAGTTCTGTTTGTCGTTATTTTTTTTTGTTTTATTGTTTTGATGCGCCCGATCGTATTTGTAAGCCGTCATTGACTTTTTTTTTTTGTGTGTGTGTTGTAAATCAATGTATCAATTTTGACTCTTGCTTAGGAATTTTATTATTCAATTTCGTGTCTAGTTTTCTAGCTCAATTATATAGTTACTTTATGTTTGAGAAATTGTTAGACTTAGGCCTGTTATTGAGATTTGTTGTTGAGGTTTGCTTCTTTGTTGCATCAAATACATGGTTGAACTTGAATTGTATTGATGAACTGATCATGGTAGAGTTCTTCTTGATGAGAAAATAGTGATCGAGATCCGTATAGATACACATTCATAGCAGCCATTAAACTTGCTAATAAAATTAACATCCTCTGGAAGATTTCTGGTGAGCTATTGAAATGTGGTGGGTTGGAATTAGACTGGAAAATTTGCCCAGAAAGGTGAGTGGGAATTGGATTTGTGACCTGAGACAATTTTCAGCTCGCTTATGCTTTTACGTGCTTGGAGGGGAAGACCAACGTGGTTGTGTTCAAATTAATTTTCAGTGACGCATTTGAAGTTGGTTTGTGTTTTTGTGGTCGATTGAGAGTCTATTAGTCAATGTTAGGATCGATCGAGATTCCATGCATGAAAATAGCAGGCCTTTTGCTTTTATGATAATGATTGAAACCGACAGATCCTTATGCATATGCATGCTCTTTTCTAGAAGATTGGTTGCATCATTATCTAGCTTTGTTGACTTGTTCGTGATGCATATATGTGAAGTAGTCGACCGCTTCTCAAGCTGGCTTGTGCCGCCTTTTCTTAAGGGTTATTCTTAATCATATGGTACTATAATTTTTAAACTTGTACCATGTAAGAAGAGAAATTGGCTTATAGACAAGTAGGAATTATGCATTATTTGATGTCAATGTAGGAATTACATTACAGAGTTATTATGGACTGGGCCTTCAGAACTAAAGTGGATTCTATTTTTGAAATTTTTAATTCTCAGATTCCAGATTTACTCAGCAGGAACTTCCAGCATGCAAGCCCATTCTTACACCAAGATGGGTAAGATTTTGTTTAAATCTTCTTGTATAGATGATATATATGTAGTGGTGCTATATACATACCTGGGAACCTGATTGATTGATTCTCTCCCTCTCTTACCTGTACTATTTGTTTCTATTCGTGTGTTTTGACAGGTGATTTCAGCTTTTATGCTTGTCAGCATTGTCTTCATCCCCATTGGAGTTGCTTCCCTCTTCGCTTCACGAGATGTATATTTGACTTGGATCCAAATCTTTTTGTTTTTGTCATTTGTTTGTCTAATTTCTAATTGTATGGTTGTTCATCAAAAAATAACTTTCGTGCAGGTTGTTGAAATTGTTGATCGATATGAAACTGATTGTATACCTCAGCGCTTTAGAAATGATAAGGTCCAATATATCCAAAGCTCTGAAGATAAATCATGCAATAGATCAATAAAAGTAAGTGTCTTCTTGTTTATTGTCTTTCGAGGTCAATCATTGTTACTGGTGTGTGCATTCTTCACCATTAGCAGTCATTGGGTATCCATTGTTGACGAATTCTTTCCTTACAAAAACACGCACCAAGATCTTCTTTCTTTTGTAGAATAGCTATGGACGTACATGCATACATACATGGATGAGTTTTCAATGGTTATGTCTCCATCGATATATGTATGAGTTTTCAATGGTTATGTATCCATCGATCGTCACCCATTAAATATAGTGATTTGGTGACGTAGCATGATAAGTCTCCAATTTCATTAATTGCAAGAATTTTTTTTTGGTCAACTATACAATTTATTACAACCATAGGATCAATATCTTACAGCTAAAACAACGATACCCATTGATGGGTAAATATTGGAGTTACCATTAAAACCACGCCCATACATATATATGTATATACTTTTTTTTTTTTTTTAAATTGATGAGCTTATATATCTTCCTTCTGTTTCTTTAAAGGTTCCAAAGCGTATGAAGCAGCCTATATATGTGTATTACCAGCTTGATAATTTCTACCAGAATCACCGCAGGTATATACTTCTTATTGCCAAAACCTCCATTTTTCTTTCTTTCATCTTTTATTTATTTATTTATTTTTATATGATGCAAACTGTGAGGGGCTTGTTGAGCGGTCAGGTCTATGGTTCGGAACTCATTTCTTTAGGACTACCTACATGGTGAATAACCATGGGAAACGAACAATCATAAAGTTCAACGGGGGCTCCAATTTTGAACTCAAGCCCACTAAGGGAACTTTTCTGATTTTCTTTTGGCGCAGCTTTTCTTTTCCTTCGATTTTTGTCATAAAAAGAGATACTAAATGAAAAAAATGGCGATGCAATAAAACTCTTATGGATATCCGGAGATGGGTAAAAGAATAAATTTTATGACCAGATCATTCATCTTAATTTATTTTGAGCAATAGATTTGTTGGGGGTGGTTGGTTGGTAGCTTTGGTTGATCATAGCATATATTCGAGTATTTCTGGGCTAACAGTGGAACATGAAAGTGGATGAGCCCGGCTGCATGATGATTTCTTTGATTGTGAGCTGATAATGATATGTAGTTTGATGATTTTTATGTGATTAGGATGGCTAGATTGAGGATGTCATCTACAGTTTGTGCGTTCATTAACTGTGCATAACATGTTAGGGCACTAAATATTTTTTGCTTACTCTTCAAAAAGTACATGAAGTCATGGTTAATCCACATATCTGGTTTAAAGTCTTTGGCCATGCTTAATTTATTTAATTCCCAATAGAAGTTAAGAGAAGCTTAGACTTGGTTTATATTACCAGTTTTTAACGTTGTCAATTATTTATTGTTATTATTATTTTTAGGTATGTTAAGAGCAGAAGTGATAAACAATTGAGAGAAAATAGTAGCGCGGATGACGTAAGCTCCTGTAAGCCTGAAGCTTATACAAATGGGAAGGTTCCAATTGTGCCTTGCGGTCTCATTGCTTGGAGCTTGTTCAATGACACCTATAGCTTCTCGCGCAAGAACCAACAGTTGGCGGTCAACAAGAAGGGTATCTCGTGGAAGAGTGATAGGGAGCACAAGTTTGGCAAAGAAGTATTTCCGAAACACTTTCAGAGTGGAACTCTTAGAGGTGGTGCTGATCTTGATGATAGCATACCGGTAAGCTTTTACCACTTGCTAGAAATGAAGTTTCAGTATTTACATTCTTGTGCATTGCATGTTTAGGACTGGAGGGAATAAATTAGTTTCAGGCTTAGCAGAGAATGCTAGTTTTTATCTTGAAGTGAGAGTCTTGAGATAATGAAGAGTGTTGTCCGAGTACACATGATATCGACTTGAGACTCTTCCAACCAGCTAAACAACTTTTTAACTTTGGAGACGTCTAAAGTTGGATCATTCTATTTTTGCTGTTTAATAATGTAAAAGATTTTTCCTTGTACTAGCAATGATATCACTTCTACCCCAATTTTGGCAAGTGAAATAATTTGCGATTCTTAATCTTTTTGTTTTTACACACTTTGCGTGGGGTGGGTTTTTCTGGAAACAACAAAGAACTATGTACTATATCTGTTATAATTTTGGCAAGTGAAATAGTTTGCGATTCTTAATCTTTTTGTTTTTACACACTTTGCGTGGGGTGGATTTTCTGGAAACAACAAAGAACTATGTACTATATCTGTTATAAGTGGGATTCCCTTGTTATGAGGTTACAGAAAGCGGATTTCATCTTATTCTGGGAAATTGATATCATTCACCTACGAACTACGATAGTCTTTCGTCAAAGTCAATAATATCTTCCTCTTCTCACTTCTCCTTTTCTTAAAATTTAGCGTTTATTTGAGATGTTGAAACTTTTTGGGATTTCTTGAGAAATGACGGTAAATATTAGCTGACCTTATTTATCCCTTTAAAGTTGGTGGTTATTCTCTGAACATTTTTTTTGTTCTATTTTACTTTTCCCCCCTGTTGGATGGCATTGTTTATATGTTTTTATCATGTTTTGTTCAACAGTTGAGTGAGCAGGAGGACCTTATTGTTTGGATGCGAACCGCTGCACTTCCAACTTTTAGAAAGTTGTACGGGAAAATAGAGGTGGATCTTGAGGCAGACGATGTCATAGATGTGACATTGAAGAACTACTATAACACTTACAGCTTCAGTGGCAAGAAGAAGCTGGTTCTTTCTACCACTAGCTGGCTCGGCGGCAAGAACGACTTTATGGGCATCGCCTACCTCACCGTCGGTGGGCTCTGCTTCTTCTTGGCTATGGCTTTCACAATTGTATATCTTGTAAAGCCAAGGTACTGCATAAACTTTCCAAATCCAAATGATGCTTGGTATAGTAATTCATTTTACCAACTTCCTTTTAATACACTCACTTGGCAAATGAATTTTTATTCTTTTACAACAGTTCGGTGTTTGAAAACGTGTCACATGAATCAGTAATATAAAGTTGGTAAAAGAGTTGGTACACCTAGCATTACTCTAATCATTAAAAATTAATACTTTAGAAAGATGTTTTATTGATCTTCTTGCTTCCTTTTCTCTCCAGGCAACTCGGGGATCCTTCATATTTGTCATGGAACAGAAATCCAGCAGGACACTGATAAGATGGCTTGTGGAACCATATTTCGTATTTAAGATTTGTTTGGCTTGAGATATTCAATTAGTAGATGTAATTTTATGTGTATTAAAATTAAACAAACTTTCTGAAAGTGGTCAGTGTATAACAGTTTTAAAAGGCATTTTGTCGTGCTTGCTGGGATTGATTCTCTTTTCCTCTTCTTTATGAGATAATGATATCAAAAGCTTTCTTTTGTATAAATCCAGTAACAGTAGTTCTTAATTCACTTCATAGTTATTTTGAAAACATAAATGTTTTCAATTGGGATTATCTGCCTTTTGTCTTTCCACAAGAAATGAGTGCAGTGATGATATAATATTTGAAAATTCAAAGCACTCTGAGAAGGATGTTAGAAAGATAAGTGCCTTCTGGGTAAGATGGATCAATAGGATGATCACATGCCGCTCCACTCTGTCTTAAAAATGTAATCTTTCTTCCCGCCATAGATGCAGCTCCCTGATCAAAATAAAATTAAAAAAAAAAATCAACCTGAGTTAAGATTTTAAAGAAAAGTACACTTTTTAATGATGAAAGTGAAACTACAAGAACTTTAGAGGCACATGTATTAAAATATAGGATTAAGTACAAAAACTCCTCTTGAATTATATCTTTTATAACATGTTACTCATTAATCTTTAAAACGTAACATTTATTCTCCATGAATAATGAAATGTTAATAAAAAAAACCCTCTCAGTTAGGTTTTTTTAAGGAAAATTGACATGTAATTTATTATTTTATGGTATTTTAGTAGCTCTATGATTTAAAATTTAATTTGAGTTTAAAATTAATTTAAATTTGAGCTTTTAATTATGATACATTTATTATTAATTGGATGTAAGTTGAAAATTTTACGAGTTTTTTTGGTGAATAAAAAAATTTATGACATTTTTTTAATATTTAAATTAGTTTAGATTCAAATTAAATTTAAACTATAAAATTATCAAAATACTTTTGAAAGAGCAAATTAAATGTCAATTTCAGTTAAAAACCTAACTAATTGGGCTTTTTTGTTAGCATTTCATTGTTCATAAGGAACAGATGTTACGTTTTAAAAATCAAGAGGCAAAATGTTATAGCGGATATAATTTAGTGAGAATTTTTGTAATTAATTCTAATATATATATATATATATATATATATATATAGTTATTTCCTCCAAAATTTGAAAGTGTCAAACCACGTTAAGTTCAAAGGAGTACAATTATACAAGCGCTAAAAAGTAAAAACCCATTCCAATTTGGGACATTATTTCCCATTAAAGCTAAGCAAGATAGATGGTTCCAGCGAAATATATGTGGTTAAAGTGCTCTCTTTCCATTGCATTTAAATGTGAAAAAATAATTTCTTAATGGGATGGAAACAATTTAAGGCCATGACACCCTTTGCATTTATCATTTTTCATGAAAAATATCCTTCTGTTGAAGAACTCGACAAGCAAGAATGTATGTCATTCATGAGATTAATGTCTTGCACTCAAGTTTAGTTCATATAGAAGAGAACCCAAGTTTTCAATGCCAAAGAAGTTGTAGAGGAGATCATCTTATTGGGATATAAAGATTTTAAACTTTTAATGAGACGCCAGAAAAGATTACTTACCTGAAGAATGCGCAAGAACATCCCACTTTGGGTCATGGCTCCAGAACATGAACAAGTCATAAGAAGACCGCCTTTCTTTGTCAACCGCATCGCCAATGAATTTAATGTCCGATACATGCCCGATGCACTTTGTAAAACCTGGATTCAGTACTGATACATCAAGTGGCAACAGAAAATCATAACTGCTAAACTTTCTTTTTCCTACTGTCATACTTTCACTTCATATTGGTCCATATATTGTTTTTGTTTTCGTTTTGTTTTGTTTTGTTCTCAACTTTTTAGTCTGTTGAGTTTCTGCTTCACTAACCCAAGCAAGTGAACAAAAACGCCTGCATGGCATAGTAGAAATGTATAAAATCGATCACCAAAACGAGACTTTACCTTTTTTCGTGGTGCTAGTTTAGGAGGATCTAAAATGACAATGTCCCAAGATTCATTTCTAGAAAGAGCATCCTTCATGAACACAGTTGCATCTTCTCTTAGAAATGATATTCTTTCCGGATCCATGTTATTAAGAACAATATTTTCTTTCGCTAGCTCTAGAGCCGGCACTGATGAATCAATACCTGATAATGCCAACAGTCAGGAACATGTTTAGACTAAAAGGAAAATATAATTTCGAACGTCCTATTCCAGTGAAAACCAGAATAAGTCGCATTTTCTAATATTAAATAACTCCATAATCTGAATTGAAAGGATTCCTTTCACACACCAGGCGGCTCCTCTAACATCATAGAAAAAATAAACAAGTGACTTTTATCTTACAAAACTATGTGAAAGGCTCCTATTGTTGGTATTCTTTAATGGAATCAGATCCCCTGTCAGAATTTCCTTGCTCCGAACACGTCTAACCAATGATATTATACCATGTCATTTAAAAATTTTGGTAACAAGCACATACGCCTTAACTCTTCTTATGAACGTCTTTTCAGCTCATCACATTTGATAAAGCAACATTTCTTCTGTTTATGTTATTTAACAGGAAATCAACAATATTTACTGCAGCCAAAAAGAAAAGTGGGAAGTTTCAGGTAAGAAAAGATTTGGAAAGTTAAATATTACTGGTATTTTTGTTAGATAAAATAAACGATAAATTTTTTTTTTTTTGATAGAAAAATAAACAATAGAAAGTTGTTTTATTAGACAAGTGTTTCAATTCTGATATCAGATATCCCACATCCAGAAAAAATTAATTCAAAGGAATGAAGGATCAAATTGGGACAAAAACTCAATGCCATGAAAATTGGTTCATAAGGGTCAAATTTCACAAGAATCATATAAAAGAAAACATCGAACTCTAAATGAAAATAGACTTTGGATAATGTTGGTATGCCTCAGCTAACTGATTTTCTTTAAAAGACAAGTGATGGAAAATCATGGCATTAGGGAAAACTTGCAGAGAATAAAAATTCTAGGAATTAAAGAATACCTGTAGCATTAATGGCGCCTCCTCGTGCGGCATTGAGAGCAAAGCCACCACTGTAGCAGCAAACATCGAGCACTTTCTGGCCATCTGAAACTGTTGATATGAATTGACGGTTCTCGCGTTGATCAGCATAAAATCCAGTCTTCTGCCCTTCAAGTGAAATAGCATAACAAATCCCATTTTCGACGACCTTGACATATAGCAGGATGGCATCAGAAAATAACAAGAACTTGAAGCATAGAATTGCAGGTACCGAGCATCTGCTCGTTTAAGATATTTTGAAAAATTCAATGATTATGCAGAAAGAAGTAAAACAGCAAATATGCTATGCATCAGCTAAATGTTGGATGAGAAGCACGCTTTTATGCAAGTCCAGCATGTGATACTTGTGACCTCTGTAGACTGGAAAAAAAACGCAAGGGGAAGCTATGTATAGAGTGAAGAGGTGACAGTGGATTGTATTTTCAAGTCAAGACTACATGCTAAAGTGTTTTTAAATCATCACTTATAAAGACATTTATATGAGAGAGAAGACCTCTAAATGTACAAAATATATTGTTCAAAGGACTTGCCTACCTTTGTTCTTGTGGGGCAAGTAGATGAATGTAATTGCTTCAGATTTAACGCATCTAATCCTTCTTCCTTCAAAATTTCGACAGAGGGTCTCCAGTTTATGTGGTTAATTTCACTAATTCTACTGATGCAGGCCTCAATTTCTGGTTTGTATTTCTCAACCCAAGCAGCAGACGACGCTATTACAGCTATATCCCCAAAGACATCAACTATCAGTCCTGACAATCTGTGGTAAAGCATTGGCATCAATTTTCGAACTATGCATAATCTACAAGAATTGTTCCTTTCTCCCGTCTTCTATTTATTTTTCGCTCTTCCTTCAAACAAACTGATCAATATGAGAACGCCCTTATCTTTTCAAATAAAAAATTATTTTGGAAACTGAGTCTACTGCATATGGACTTGGCATTCAGCAAACCTTAATACATGAAACTTTAGTAATGATGGAAAAAAATTATGTTTTATCAAAAACAAAAACATACGTTTTTTTTTTTTTTTTTTTGAAAAACAAAACATACGTTTTATTCTATTGAGTTACCCTTATCTTACAGTTACCTCCAAATCCCAATACGTGCTTAAGTTAACAGAATCACACGATCCACTCCAGGTGAAATAATTAGCAGATAACTTGAGGTTGAATTACCTATCCCCTTCACTATTCACAAGTCGAAAAGCGTTTGTATTCGCTGAGGGAAGGCCCAAACTCCTACGCAGTTCTATGGCTGCATCTATTCTCGTTTCAAGCAGCTTCTCCACGTCTAATGCACATGAAGGTTCTCTGCATCATACAGATTAAAAACTTTAAAAGTCCACTTGAAGGAGATAAACTGCATTAGCAATGCAAGCTCTTGAATATCATACCTTTTTGCTTCTTCTTCTAGCTGCATCATCCGAACACAGAACATGGAAACAGAATTGTACATGCCCCACCCTATAGGTGTCTCTTCACCATCGGCTACCAGCACAACATCACCTGTCCTCGGCGGCGGTCTACCAATTATTCTATCGACTGCTCCACTATAAACCATTGGGCTTCCATCCTTGAAGAGTTGTGTCTTCCCTTTCTTCAGTACAACTTTTGCCACACCTACCTACCACGGATAAACAAGATTTAGAAAATCAATAAAAATGTCTATGAAAGTTTGCTATCATTTTTCCACAAAGCATTTAGATCAAATTAGCCACACATAGAGAAGACAATGCACCAGAGCCCAGCTGCGAAAATTAAAACAAGCAGCCTTAGCAACGTGAACTCAAAACTAAAACTTTTGGGTCACACTGAAACAAGATTATTTTCAAGTCGAAGACCGCAGTTATTCATCACCATTGGTAACTGTAAAATTACTAGGCCCCACACTGCTATGTGGTAGTTTTGATGCACTGACACCCATATGTGGTGCATGCATCGCCAATAGTGATAAATAGCGTTTTTCGTGACTAAAGATCCAGACTAAACAAAAGAAAAACTGACCAAAGACAATTATAATATAACGTTAAAAAGCATCAGAAACTGGATTGCAACTCTTAATTTCCAATCATTGAATTTGATAGCCCAAGTTCTGTTGGTCTTTTGTACCTTAGGCGTGGCATTACATATGTGCAGGATAACCATACAAAAGGTCTGATCCATACCGACACAACAACAAAGATGAGAGCAAAGTATAATTCAAAGCCACAAAAGGTGACTTCTCAACAAATATCTTCTGAGAAAACTTTAAAACTTGTATTGGAGCTTTAATAAGGTTTATAGACTTTATTATGATATTTTTATCATCTATTTGAAATTTAAATATCAATTTGTCCCATTAAGATCTCTAAAAAGTGTACTTCTAAACACTGAAATTCTTCTATGGCTAAAAGTATAGGCAACAACACGTGTTTTTTCTCACAAACACGGGTTTGGATTGAGGCACGGATTCAAAGTGGACCGGTCCAAACTTGTACCAAAACCTAGTAAAGTTTTATGAACTTTATACTAACACTCTTATAGCTCATTAAAAATATTTAAATATCATTTTGTCTAATTAAACTCGTTCAAAAATATGATTCCAACTTCCAATCACAAACTCAAAAAGTCATAGCTTTCACATCTCCTCTTCTACTTTCTAAACCCAAAAACAAACAAGAAAAATTAAACCAAACGAGCCCTCAATAGTTTATTGTGCCTATGGAGGACTACCAAAAGTCATAAAATGCAATGCCCTTCTGTTCTCACGTTGTTCCTATAGTCAGCAATTCCTATATGTTGTAAAAGGCGTAGACTCAAGCTAAAGTTTTGTAGCTTTGTCACCGCAAAACTGGAATTGGAGACAGACCCAGAGGCCAAAAAGTGCAGAACTAGTAAAGCCCACATGCAAAATTGAAAAGGAACAAGAATATATATATATATATATATATATATATAGAGAGAGAGAGAGAGAGAGAGAGAGAGACCTTTGGGGTGGTGGGCAAAAGCAAGTTCTTGGAGAGTAGAGGTGTATGGACGCGAAGAAGACACAGCGAGGGACTTCATCAGCCGCACTGGAAGCTGCCGCTGCATCATCATGATGCTGATGATGATGAATTTGCTATTGCTTCCTGAGCCTCAACCTGGACTGGAGGCGCCAATGGATGACTTATTAAATAAGAATCGTCCTCATTTAATATTTTATTAAATGGATTATGATAATATTTTCAGTCAATATAAAATTTTAATACGTTCCCCCATGTACAGTATGAATCATGTTAAATTACTATGAATAAATTAATATTATAGAATTTAATATTGTAAAATTAGACATGTTCTGATATCATTTTATAAAAATTAAATAATATTAATATAAAATTTAAAATTTATTTATGATTAATTTGTAATTTTTAAAGACTTAAGTGTGAAAATTTTAAAAATCTGAGCTAAAATTCAAATTTAGAAGAAATATCGAGGTCAGAAAAATAAAAATTTTAACAATCAGTATACACAACCTGTTATTTAGTGCCACTTGGCCGTGTCTCTCATCCTCACCAATCAGAAAATCCTCATTTTCTCTCTCTCTCTCTACATGCACGGCCGACCCACCTCCGGTAAGATTCCGGCGTCCGTTTTCGACATCTCCTGGCTCGTTAGAAATATCTCGTCGAGCTGAGTCCGGACTAGTGTCTTCCAGCCGCCAACTCCGCCGGACGACGCCACACTCGCCGGCCAAAGTTTCAAAAAACACTCAAACTTTCGATCGTGATATCTTCGTCGTCCGATGTCCGATCGAGGTGATTCCGATCCCAATAGACTCAGAGCGAAGAGACGAAGAAAACCGTACTAGCAGCACGGCTTGATTCTGATCGGAACGCCGCCGCCCGTGGTGGTCGGATAACCGCCACTGCCGCCCTTGGACCTCCCTTCTCCGGCCGTCGTTAACGACACCGCCCAGCCCATTAGCTTCAGAGGGAGCCGGTGAGTCGTTCTGGGCCACCAGCCGTGGTCACCGCCGCCGCCTTGCCGGAAAACGAGCCGCCACCGCCGTGAGAAAAATGGGAGGATGGTTCCAGTGATCTAGCCGTTGGATCATCGTGATCAAAATGCTCAGAATCTCATGGGTAATGAAATCCCTCAATCGATTTTGAAGATCCGTGGCTGAAAAACAAAGATTCAAAGCTCGAAATTCGGTCAGAATTGAGGATCTCGATCCGAGTGGTTAGAGGCTAAATTTGATAAAATTGACATCGCCATTGGATTCAGAACCATCGATTTAGGGGCGTAGGACCCAAGTCCGCCGCGGGATTCTCCTCCGAGAAGCTCCGCCGCCGCTGCCACCGGTGGCCGGATTCCGGCGAAGCTTCGTTTCACAGCTTTCCAACCTCCGATTGACGATCCGAGATCCGTTTTGAGGAAGAGGTCCTATTACTTAACTTTTGTGAAGTTTTATTTAATTTAATTAATTTTGTTAAATTTGAGAAGAATGAAATTGTATATTAAACTTCTTTATTTCTGTTATACGATATGACTTGAACAAAACCATTAAGGAGCCCGTCCTGTATTGTACAGTGTGGCCAAGAAATTTGACAATTTTTAAATCTGACACAAAAACATGGTTAGGAGAATGTAAACCGGACACAATAATGAGATAGTGTGCTAACACTAGGTGTGGCCGTTCACCACCCCTGGGTGTGGACCCAAAAAAGTAAAAGAGTGGAGAGGTGATGATGCTTTCCGGGATTGAGAATCCCCAAGGTTATTGTACAGTGGTTGCGTCTTGGTGAGGGCTCGGAACGACAGTTCACCCTTGCCCGTGGTTTGAGAACTGATCTGGTAGAGATCCCGAGATAGAGCTCTTTGCTATCAGTGCCTCTGAATCACCGCGCCCTTCGGGGGTTTTTCGTCACGAGCGTACGGATTGGGTTATCTCACCGACACTGATCATCTGACTCATTATACATAAAACATAAAAATTACTAACCATGCAAGTTTAATTCGTAACAATAAATAAAAAAAACTAAAGGTGAGTAATAGTTCTCCTACTGAGCATTGCATGCTCACCCCTTTTTCTTCCCATTCCTAGGCGAAGTACAGTGTAATCTTTCGGATGAGGAGTAGACGTCTCACAGTGCGCAACGTGTTAGAGACCTATCCCTTCTTTCGGTCCTCTTCTTCAGTTATGTAAGATTCTGACTGGATTGTTTTCGATAGGGATGTGACTGATGATGGTTGTATCATTTAAGTATTTTATTTGGTGCTACATTGAACTGTAGATTTATGGTCTTATTTTGTTTTGTCGATTTGTGATTTTTAATTATGAGTTTCTCGTTAAAAGTCCCATGGGCACTTATCGTTTATATTTTAAGAGTTATATTTTATTTTTGTTTTTGTTTGCCCCTCATATTTCTAATCTTATTGCATAACCCTCACTTAGGGGTAAGTCTAACTCAACCTAATAAAACTGACTTATTAAGAGAATATTACCCTTATTTTATTAAGTATATCATGTCAATATCTCTAACCGGATTCTAATACAAGGTGAAATGTACGACTTGTCGTTTGATTAGATACCATATAATATATATATATCTACTATATGGATGCAGAACGGTCGGTTTGTCGGGTTTTCCTTGTGTTTTTTTTTTTTTTTTTTTTTTTTTTTTTTTTCCTTTTTTTTTTTTTTTTTTTTTTTTTTTTTGTATTTTACCCTTTTCATGTCTTCGTAGAATTCATCCCAAGATAGTGTAATCTTCAAAAAAATAAAATAAAACAAAAATTAAAAAGAGAAAAAACATCTACAAAACCAAATTTTACTGTCGTTTGAGAAATACTGTGGAGTGTTGGTTGTTGGTTCTTGTTCGTAGTGGAGCCGCTAGAGACTCTTCTTCCTCTCGACTCCCATTCTCTCTCTGCGCAATTGGTGACGGGTGAGGATTATTATTATCATTATTATTTATTTTTTGTGAGAGTTTCAAAAGCACAAGTTTGTTATTGCACATAAACTGTTTGATGAAATGTGTCAAGAAGCTCATGACAGAGAACTCATGGGATCAAAACCAGAAAACAAACTCTCCGATAATGCGAGAGTTTTTGCCTAATTCCAATGTTCTGTTGCTTCATCTTATGGGTCCTTAACAACGATCATTGTTTTTCCGGTTCATGTGTAAACAGGAGATGATATAGACCACAGTTGAATCAATTGCGGAGCTGCATTTTCGCAGTTTTCCACGCTGAAGAGTTGAAGAATTTGTTTATACAAAATGCGTCTTGTAGAATTTCCTAACTTGTTCGTTCTGCTCTATATCTTCCACACCCTTATTGTTTGCCGAATTTGCAGCTGCGGAAATACGTTAGTATGTCAGATTTTGTTTTGATTATATCTACATTTCGACAACCGCTTAGGTCTAGTCGATTTCATTGTCAAGTTTTGGTGGTTGATCAATTGCACAGGATAGACGGCAAAGTTCTGAATGTCGGGGAGGAACTTTGGAGGGAAACGCTGCCTCTTCAAATGGGCTCGCGACTTTACGAGCTACGAGGGCTTAAATCTTATACGTTGTATGAAGTAAAGATATCGTATCCGGCTTCTGTATGTATTCCATGCCTCTACATAGTTGCTCTTCCCTTCATTCAGCTTTCTCTATATAAAATCTCAACTGGGTTTTTGGCGTTATTAATAGATACCAGCCAGCTTTTCCTTAGAATTGAGGAGAGACAAGTTGGATTTGGCGCTGCACACGAATAGAAGATTGCTCAACACGGAAAAGATCATTTTCAAGACCGATGCTCTTGATTCCGATCAGGTTTGTGGTCGCCTTTGAAACTTTGATTAACACATTTCTGTTGTTATGAAATAGACTAAGGGGATGTTTGTTTCATGTATCATTTCCTAGTTCTGAATCATGGTTCATGATTCTTATTTTTCTCTCATAAAATATTTAAATTTCAAAAATCAGAATCATGAATCATAATTCTAAATCTATGAACCAAACGTTACCTAAAACGTTTGTGCCGTGCAGGATGGAATGTATGTCTTGGTTAGTGTGGAGTCCGAGGGGTTTGTTGCGATACCTAATGTTTTGGAGAGAGAATTCATCCTTTTCAACATAGGTAGTGCCATCTTTTATTTGACTATTGTTCCTTTGAAATTAGTAGATCCTATATTGCTTTCCCTTATTCTTTTGAAACACTCGCATCTCTTTGTCGTATGAAGGAATCCTGTTTCTATTAGTAACAGTTGTAAACCAAAAAAATAAAAAGGAGAATGAATTTCATTTCAGAATGTGATTTAGATGGAAAATTATAATCAATCTGGAAGCCTGATTGACTTGGGGACTATTCATATCAAATCCTCGAGAATTTTTCTCCCCCTTTTCCCTTCCTTTTTGTATTTGTGCATTATACTGCTCAACCATTTTTTAGTTTGCTTTTACGCTAAACATTATCCATTTTATATTCGTTGCAGTTTGTGATGAACTGTTGTTGGGTATTCCACACAAAGCTTGGTGGGTGGTAGTCTTGGTAATACTTTGTCTGGGTTTGGCATTCTTCATCCCTTCTTTCCTTCCACCTTATTTGCTTCAGAAGAACCCGAGCCCACGATCACTTGATCGGAGTGCTTCCAAACATTCCTGAAATTTTGAATGAGAAAAAAATATTTTTCTTTGTTGTTAATTGAGAACTGAGGCCAGATTCTTAGCTTCAAGATGTTTGTTTGGTCAAACATGGGTGTTTGAAATAATTGGGAAGAATTGATCAAGGATGTTCCAAGATTGCATTTTGGGGACATTTGCTCATTCTTGGGTTGTAAATTGTAATGCAATGGTATCCTCCCTTTTTTTCCCTATTAGATACGGTGTGTGGGGTCTATGACTCATTATATTAAAACAATCATATTTGAAGCCTAAATCGCACACTCACACATTTACGCACCCAATGACTTGAGCTAGCCTCAAGTGGCAAATACTATTATCTAATTATTTGTCCTTTATACCCTTTTAAATGAAACTATATATATTTTGTAAATTTTCAGAGTTATCTTGTAAAAATAAAAAAAAATAAAAAAAAAGGTTGTGTGTTCCATATAACAATTTTGTTGAAAATTTCGTGGATGTTATCGATTAGGACCAAATGCCAATATTTTTGAGAATTCATGAACCAAAAAAATGAGTTTAAGAACAAAGTCACTCATTAGAAAGTTCATGAACCAATAACACAGAAAACTAATTTGTAAATTTACCCCTCAAAAATAAAATGATTTTTTTTTTTTTGTTCTAAACACGCTAACCCTGTCTTCCCTTCCCCCCTTAGCAACAACCATCACCCCCTTCATCACCAAACCCACTACTCTTGGCCATCAACTGAGCGTTGCCGTCGTGTCACAAGGTCATTTGTGAGGCTCTTTTCGGCCTTGCCATAGAGGGAGAGAGATGAGGGTAGTTATTGCAAACGCTGTTAGGAAACATTGATGTCATTAGTGTTCGTTTGGTTCGTGTATTTAGAATCATTCTCGTTTTACGTATATTTTTTGTGAAAAAAAAAAATTGTAGAGAATCATGAATTATGATTCAGAATCATTGATAAATATAAAAAACAAACGGGCTCTTAAAAGATCAAAACACGGGGTTGTTTATCATTATCATTAGAAGACCAAAAAACAGGGTTATCTGCTAAATAGGAGGTGAGTTTTTTGGCCACGCGTCACAATTTATGAAAATGAAAATGAAGTAGGCACTTCTCTTTTCCAATTCCTGAAGAGACAGGTTATAACCACAAATGAGAAAATTTTAGCTTACACAAACAACAATTTCTTAGCACCAAGGGACCCGAGCTGAGATGATTTTATAAATATTTAAAACAAAAATCCTTCGTTCTTTTAGTAGTTTTAAAAAACAAAAAAAAATATTTTTTAGTATGCTTGTTTGCTGTATTGGTAAGTCAAGTTTTTTAAATCATTAAATTTATATATTTTTTAATTTTTATGTGATTTTATACAGATTTAATGAAAAAAAAAACTGATATATTGACATACTGAGAAGGTTCCAAACAAAAAATTAAAATGATACCTAAAGAAAACAAAAGGTACAAAAATCAGAATGCTTTCTAAATTCAAATTTAAGACACTGCGTGCACATATAGGACATGCAGGCTTCATGACGTTATTTGCAGTGCATATTATATTGTGTTACAAAGTGTTAACTAACTTAGGTAGTGATGTAATTCTATTCTGTTATTTAGTTTGAAAGGTACTAAGACCTCGTTCATTTTATCGATTCGAGTTTTTAGTTTTAGATTTTTACAGTAAAAAACTCTTAAAAAATATTACATTTAATTTTTTCTGCTACAGTGAAAAGCTTTCAGAAAATGTCACATCTCAACTCAAATTGAAAACTCGAATCTGCGAAGTGAACGAGGCCTAAATATACCCCTCAAAATCTAAAAGATAAATAAATAAATATACTATCTTCTGCTGGAAAAAACAAATATACTATTTGTAAGCCGACGCTAATTCCAAAATATGGGATGCATACTTAATACAACTTTCAAGTTTCAACGCATAGCTATTTTTTTTTTTTTTTTTTTTTTTTTTTTATAACGAAGAGCTATCTAGCATATAAGTCCAATGCCAATTTGTTTTACTTTAAGAAACAAAAATATTATTCATTGTTTTTTTAGGCAAAGTTTTCATTATTATATTTAATAGAATAAGATAAGATTGAACATCTACCCAGAATATCCCTTTCTTTCCACTTCAATTTTGCCATCAATTTTGTTTTTTTGTTTTTGTTTTAATTTATAAAGGCAACCAAACAGGATGCTCCAAAGGAGAGAAGGGAACTTTTAATAGTAGTCTATTAAAAAAAATAAAAAATAAAAACTTATCAGTATTGCACTGTTTTTGACTATCTGTAAATCATAATCAAGGGGAAAAAAATTAACAGAACTTAATAAAAATATGAAATCGTTTTTTTTTTCTTTAACATATCTCGAAATCCTCCTTTACTATTACAGAATAAGAAAAGTGAATATCAACCATAACTTTTTCATTAGTAGTAATATTGAATAATTAGAATAAATATGAATCTACTTTTTTTCTTACTATGAAACAAATAATTATCTAATTATGTGTAAAAGATATTTTAGTAATTAAATTGATAAAGCTTCTATATTTAAATTTAGTAAACACTAAAAGAAAGATTAAATTGTTTCCAATCCACAATATAATGGATAAATAACATTAGAAAAATATAAAAAGAAAATTTCTTATTCATTTACATTCCTTTTTAAACTCATTATCCTTTTCATTACCTTCAATTACATATCCTTTAATTAGAAAAGTTGTCGTGGACCATTCTAAGTTTAATTAGGACAGTGCACTTTCCTTTTCCTTTTCTTTGTTTTTTTTTAAATTATTTTACTTCCTTTTTATAATGTCAGTATTTCAATTGGTGGTTGGTTTCTTTTGTTGGCCAAAGAAAGGAAAATAATTGAAAACCCTTTTAAGGAGTAGGACCATTCCTGATTAGCCGGTCAACAAATAAGATCAACTTTTGATACAGATTTAATAATTAAAAAAATAAAAATAAAATCATTATTCTATTTTTACCACGCCAGAATAATCTTAAAACACCCAAATATAAGTGCAAAACAGATTCCAATCCAAATGAACATCAACAACTTTGACAACGACACCATAAACGCGTTACTAATTCTGTGTTTGTCTGTGACATATTTTTGTCGTTTATCCACCTCTTACCGTTTGGACTATATATGTGTACAACCTTTTCTTGCTTCGCTAGTTGGCTCCTACTTTATTGCTTTTAAGGCTCTCTCTCTCTCTCTCTCTCTCTCTCTCTCTCTCTTTCTCTCCGCCGGTCCTCAGACAACCATGTCTCTCCACCTCAGGTGTACCACCATTTCATCTTCGTCAGGTTTTATCTCTCTCTCTCTCTCTCTCATATGGGGTTGTTGAATCTTGGGTAGTAATAGTAATGCATCAGATATTTTCTTTTGTGTGCATGATGATGAAAACAATTTGTGCATAACTATCTCTCAAGTCTGATTTTTTAACTGTTTGATGTGTTTGTATAAGATACGAAATGAGATATGAACTATATAATTTGCTCATAAAATAGTTGACTGAATCTTTTGATATGGAGGTTGGTTTTTTAATCCTATTTTGTGGTTTTTAATGTATCATGAATGATACCCAGTTGGGGAATTAGAGTACCACTTTTCATGGTCTTGAGTTGTGACTATCTTGAAAATCATACGCAATTTAATTAATTTGTGGTAACTCATTGAGTGAAGGGTTTGAAATGAGACAGTTTCTCTCTATCATTGTCTCTTTGGTGTTTCCAAGAACATACTATATTCATGTATTTATGTTGCAACTTTTTTTTTTTTTTTAAAGTGTTGAAACTTGCATGTTTAACCACAAAGATGTGACAGTCTCTGAATAGAATACTTATTATAAACTTGTTACTTTCGCTATTTTTTCTACAAATTCCCCACCCCAAAATGTTGTTTTTAGTTATATATGTGTATCTAATATTTATATATGTCAGGCTGCTGTTTGAGTAACTAAGTTTGATTCCTTGAATACTTGTGTAAAAGTAAGTAAATCTGCACTGAATTTGTTAGTGACAGATTTTCCAGTACAAAGATCAAATGAAGCGAAAAAAGGCAATGCTTCCTCTTTGGTACGACAACTCTTAAATTTATAATTTCTTGTATTCTATTTTTCCATTTGAATATATTGTGAAGTGATGTTCTTTTTAATTTTTTGAGCAGAATTTTGAGGAGACAAAAGACAAAATCGAAAGTATGTTCAATAAGGTTGAACTCTCAGTTTCCTCCTACGACACTGCCTGGGTGGCAATGGTCCCTTCTCCGAGTTCTGCACGGGACCCCTTTTTCCCTCAATGTGTAAATTGGTTACTGGAGAATCAACACTCCAATGGCGCGTGGGGTCTTCCTCATCACCATTCCTTGCTCATGAAGGATGCTTTGTTATCTACTTTAGCAAGTGTCCTCGCATTGAAACAATGGAACGTTGGTGAAGAACAAATAAACAAAGGTATATATTAATGATTTTGTTCTTTCGAAAATCATTTTACTACGTAGAGTTGGTGATATAATCTCATCCTGTTTCAGGCCTACATTTTATTGAGGCAAATCTAGCTTCAGTTACTGATGACAAGCAATATTCTCCTGTTGGATTTGAAGTCATATTTCCCACTATGATTGAATATGCTAAGAATTTGGATCTGAATTTTTCTATGGAACCCTCAAATTTTGATGCCCTGATCCATAAAAGAGAGCTGGAACTTAAGAGGTAACTTTTTCCCCTTTCTTTAATATTATTGATTTGAATTTGTTTATATCCTTTTCTTTTCTCTTGCACATTCATTCGACACCCGACAGTAAAAAATCCATAAAACAAAGTTATAAACAAAGGAGAACCTATTATGGTCCATTACCACCCAGCTAAGGAAGAGCTTAGTTATAGCACAAAAGAGAGAGAGATATTCTATCTTAAGTAGGAAGCCTTTCCTTGACTGTTAATCGGATTATTACAAGATTGTTTATATCATTTTCTTATGGAATTGTGATATTGTTTTTTTATTGATTTAGAAGAATGCCTTTGAACAAAAATGCGCTACTAATTCAAATCTGACAGTTGGGAGTTTATTGCTTTTGTGATAATTATATACATTAACTTAAAAATTCATCCTAACTCAATTTTCCTCACTGCCTTGTCACTATAAGTGCCTATGGAAGCAATTCGGAGGGACAGAGAGCGTACTTAGCATACATTTCAGAAGGGATCGGAAAGTCAGTGGATTGGGAGGCGGTTATGAAGTACCAAAGGAAAAATGGTTCCCTGTTTAATTCACCTTCCACCACAGCGGTTGCTTTTACAAACCTCAAGAATGCTGATTGTCTTAAGTACCTGTGCTCCGTCTTAGAAAATTTTGGAAGTGCAGGTTCCTCCATCTTTAACTTTTGTGTGGGTTTCTTGGTTTCAAATCACATCGTTCTTACATCTTTTTTTTCCTCCCCAGTTCCAGCGGTATATCCTTTAGATATGTATGTCCGTCTCTTGATGGTCGACAATCTTCAAAGGTTGGGAATTGACCGGCATTTCAAAGAAGAAATCCGAAGTGTACTGGATGAAACATATAGGTAAGTTTCTTGATTTTTTTTTTTCCCCTTTTTTTGCCGATAATAATGAAAGGGCCCTTCAAGAATGCTAAAGTTTTTTTTTTTTTTTTTTTTGAAAGCAAAAATGGTAAAGTTTTAATTTTTCCTTTTTAATTTTTTTTTTTTTTTTAAAGTAAGCTTGCTGGCGCCTTTTATTTCGAAGCTTGACATTAGCCAATGAACAGGTTGTGGCTGCAAGGGGAGGAGAGCATACTTTTAGATAGTTCCATTTGCGCAATGGCATTTCGTTTGTTACGTATTAGTGGATATGATGTATCTTCAGGTGTTTCACAGTTTAGAAGTCTTCGTGTTTACAAATTTTTCGTGCAACACATGCTTAAGAGATTTAATTCTGTGATGTAGACCCATTGACTCAATTCTCGGAAGATCACATTATCGATTACCTTGGTGGACATATGAAGGACATTGGTGCTATCTTAGAAATATTTAGGGCATCGGAGATCATCATACATCCGGAGGAATCTGACCTCGAGAAACAAAATTTAAGGACAAGTAGTTATCTAAAACAAGAACTATCTAGTATTTCCACCAACGCAGATCACAAACTCAATAAATACATTTGCCAGGAGGTAGTTTCCTACTTAAGTTTCTCTTACATATTCAATTGTGACGTTTGCGAAGGTAATACCTGGAAAGTTATTCTTTCTTTGTTTCAGGTAAATGACGCTCTTAAGATGCCATACTATGCGAACTTGGGACGACTGTCAAGCAGGAGAGCCATAGAGCATTATGAGACCGATAGTATGAAGATTCTGAAAACTTCTTATCGGTGAACTTTTTCGATTTTGATCCTTTCATTGACCTTCCTCCTTTTAAGAACTTTTTTATGCTCAATTACTTTAAATAGTCACATTTTTGTACTCTTTGTTTCAGTTCTTCAAATGTCCGCAACAAATATTTCCTTGACTTAGCAATTGAAGATTTCAACATGTGCCAGTCAATACATCGTGAGGAACTCAAAAATCTTTCCAAGTGCGTATTTCCTAACAGGAATCATGATATCTTCATGGAATTTTCTGAGAATTGTCCCTAAAAGTATCAGTGCTTGACTAGAAAAGTTGAGAAATGAAGCTAAGAAAACCTTCTCTCTTTTTTTTTTTTTTTTTTTTTTTTTTTTTTTTTTTTTAACCTGGTTTTCTTTTTTTTTCACTTCACCCTTTTTTTTTTTTTTTTTTTTTTTTTTTTTCGTGTTAACCTGGGATTCATCTTCTTAGCATCTACCCCTAGTTTTCCATCAGCCTACATATATGAAAGATGAAAGTTTACCTTGACAGGGGTATCTTTAGGTATCTTCAGAAAATAGCGATCAAAAACAGAAGATGCTCATGCTTTCAACTGACAAAAGTGTTAGTGTGAAATTCTGAGGTCAATGGGGTGTCGCTGATATTAAGTTTGGTCAAGCAGGTGTCACTATAATACTGACAAAAACTAGGGGTGTTGGCGTAATTTTTCCTATTAAAAAAATTAAGGATATAGAAAAAGGAAAGGCCACTGAGATTAACAAACATACAAGCCATTTGTTGTCTTACTATTTTGAAGGAACAGTTTTTCTTTTGACCCAAGCAAGCTCTAACATGTGGAAGCTCAAGCAGGTGGGTTATAGAGAATAGATTGGACAAGCTAAAGTTTGCCAGGCAGAAGCTGGCATACTGTTACTTTTCTGCTGCCGCTACCCTTTTTGCTTCTGAATTATCGGATGCACGCATTTCGTGGGCTAAAAATGGCGTCCTCACAACAGTGGTTGATGATTTCTTTGATGTTGGAGGTTCAGAAGAAGAACTTTTAAACCTCATACAATTGATGGAAAAGTATGTTTCCCTTTTTAACAATTCCTATGCATTCTGCTTATGCATCCCAAGTTTCTTCTTTTTCTTTTTTGTTCAGTCAAAAGTGATTGTGTTAGTTGTACTTGAAGCACAGGTGGGATGTCAATCTGAGTGTTGATTGTTGCTCCAAGCAAGTTGAAATTATCTTTTCAGCACTTCATAACACAATTTCTGAAATCGGAGCCAAAGCAGTCGTGCTGCAAGGACGTAGTGCGAAAAATCACGTAATTGAGATTGTGAGTTGCAATCTTGACCTTGTTCATGTTATCATTGTTTTCCCTACTAGCAAACACTTTTATGGATTCCGTACCAGCAATTTAATTTTCAAAATAATAGCAATTGTACCTGATTTAATTTTGAACGGAATAATGTCTATAGCACCTGTCTACCTGAACTTCTCGTAGTTTAACACTTCCACCTTTTCATTCTGAAAAACATTGTGCCTGAAATAGTCCTAGAGTTCCCTAGAATTTAACTTAGGTTAACTATTGCGGTTAATTGCTACTCTTTTAGAAATTCAGGGACTAAATTGTGAAGAAAAAAGGCCTAAGGACGAAAGTAAGAAACCATGAACAGCTTAGGAGGCGACAGTGTTAAAATTCCTTTTTAAGCGAGGATGTAACTTTGCATGTGTTGAAATGCAGTGGCTGGATTTGCTGAAATCCATGTTGAGAGAAGCTCAATGGACGAAATACAAGTCTGTGCCAACAATCGATGAGTATATGACAAATGGATACGTCTCATTTGCCCTAGGACCCATAGTCCTTCCAGCTCTTTACTTTGTGGGGCCTAAACTTTCCGACGACGTTGTAGGACATCCCGAGCTCCATCATCTATATAGACTGATGAGCACTTCCGGACGTCTTCTCAACGACATTCAAGGTTTTAAGGTAAAGAACAGTTCATCTTAGCCAAATGAGAAAGACAAGTGACCATTTTTTTTTTAATTGTTTAGTAGCCTGCTAATAGCTCCTGGATGTATTACAGAGAGAATCCAAGGAAGGTAAACTGAATGCTGTATCACTAAGCCTAATTCATGGTTCTGGGTCAGCTACCGAAGAAGTGACCATCAATGAAATGAAGAGTATTGTGAAGAGTCAGAAGAGAGAACTGCTGAGACTAGTTTTGCAGGACAAGGACAGCATAGTCCCGAGGGCTTGCAAGGACTTGTTCTGGAAAATGAGCCAAGTTTTGCACCTATTTTACGCCAATGATGATGGTTTTACCTCAAACGAGATGATCAATGTCGCAATGGGGGTACTTGAAGAACCCGTTGTTCACCTTGATATGTAAATCTGCGTAGTTTGATCATCCTTTTCATTTGATAACATGGTATGAGGTTAGCGGTTTTGCATTTAAATTCCTTTTAGAGCTTCATAATAAAATGGTCTCTTTCTTGTGGATATTTTCAAAAAGAAATAAAGAGTATATTTCTTCTTGTTTTCAGTTATTAGTTTTCTTTTTCCGCATTTGTGCGTTGATTTAGAGGATACGGTATCTTGCCGAGTTTAAATCGTCTTATGCAGATGGTATTACAAAAACTAAACTTTATGCTTATGCACTCAATTTTTTCATATAATGTAATGGAAAAAAGACAAATTTGTGTATATTAGCATCAGAAAATAAGCTGTGTACATACCATTTGTCTACTTATTTCTCATTTTTCAACGAGTATATAATGTACTTTTGAAGTATTTACCTTCTATAAATCATATTCCCGTTCAGAATTTTGTTTAGACCTTGGATTTCTTAGAAGATTGTCCTTGACTATAGTATTAAAAATGACTAGCCTAGTAGTAATGCCTTTAATTTAATGACTCACCTGAGCATACACGTCGAATGTCTATAGGTAAGAAGCAAGCAACATATCACTTAGGGTGCGTTTGGAATTATTTTCAAAAACGTTTCTGCACGTTTTTTGAGGCACGAAAACGAAAACGGTCTACAAATCGTATTTGTTTAATAAAAGTTTTGAAAATGGAAACGAAAACAAAAAACAATGAGAATGATTTTTGTGGAGAAAGTAGAAAACGATTGAAAGTTGTTTTTCCTTTTCCGTTTTTATTTTTTAGTACTTATCAACAAATTTATATTAAATAATTAATAATTAATTACTAATTATATAAAATATTAATTGATAATTAATAAATAAATATACTTAATAACTAATAAATAAATAGTAATTACTTAATTATTAATTAAATATTAATTTATTACTATTAAGTTTTTAATTTATTAATAATATAATAAATAATTATTTAGTTAAAGATTAATTGCCAAAAATCAATTCTATAACATATTAACAATAAAAAAAGTAATAATATGTTATTAAATAAATAATTAATAAATCAATCATATATTATGTTAATTATAATCTATTAATTAGAAAATATAATAATTAATAATTAATAAATCAATCATATATTATGTTAATTATAATCTATTAATTAGAAAATAGTTGATAAATAAAAAATAAATAGTAATTACTCAATTAAGAATTAATATTAAATTATAATTATCAATATGTGATATACTAATCAATAATAATTAATAGTTGATAATTGGTAATTAATCATTATAGAAAGAATAATTACCAAAAATTGATCATGTGATATATCAAATAATAGATTATTAAATAAACATTAGTAATTAATTAACTAATTATTTAATTATGTAACAAAAAGTAAATAATTTAAATAGTAAACGGAATATTAATAAATTATGTATATACAAATTATTTTTCTTAATACACTAATTAATTACTTATAATCTAATAAAAATGAGTACATTACTAACATTGTAATTATTTATAATTAATTACTAATTTTTAAATTTTAATTATTTAGCATATTAATTTATTATATATAGATAGTTTAATTACTAATGAACTCATTAATGATAATTTATCCATTATTATTATATTATTAATATATTAATTTTTTTGCTAACTAATAATCAATTATTAATTACTTAATAAATTAATTTAAGATTATTAATTACATGTACTCAAAACAAACATAATTGTAACCAAACATAATTTCACTTTTTTATCATGCTCAAATTAATCTTTTGAAAGACCACCAAATGTAATTTTAAAATCAATTTTAGAATAATTTTTAAAATAATCTCATTTTCATTTTTATACTAAAAATAAAACTATTTTAAAAACATTACCTATCGAGCCCTTAATATCCGTGTTATGTTACTGTTAAGACAGTGCTCTTTTCCAGACTCAAGAAGAGGCATAGGCATAAATAATCCAGGTAGCATGTTCCATAATCATTTCTTCATATACTTTGTTGAAAATAATAACTGTTGAAACCATTCGTCCCCATTTTCTTCTTGAAAGAAAAATTGCATATTGCCAATAGATATCACTTTGACATACTTAAACTAGTTAGACGAAAAAAAAAAAAAGGCTCAACTTTATTATATAGATAAAGGTAAAAACAAAAATAATCATGTCCCTCTTTATTGCACAAATAAAGAAATACAGATGCAAGAAAAGCTCCCCCATGCTGACCACAGAAAACGATGGTTGGTTGGTTGGTGTGCTCAAAATTTGGGCTTCCAAAAGAGAAAAGGCTCATAAAAATATTTTATGGGTTAGCATGCATGTATCCCTGTCAAGTGCCCCCCAATTTGTTTCTGAGCAGTACGAACTGCAAAGGGTACTCACTCTCCAGCCAAATAGCATAAATAAGGATGTTTTGTTAATCAATTTTATCAAAACGACTTCTTTTCATAAGAAACCAACCCATGAATTCCACCTTCCACTTGGCCTGCTCCAGTCCGTACCTGCTCAAACCACACAAAACATTCATTATAAATACCAAAAAAAAAAAAATAGAGAGGCCAATGAAGAGGCTATCATAAATTTGTCCCTTTCCTAGCATTATATAGCCCGAGAACCAGCCTGCTGGAAAAAATGAGTTAGCAGCAACTGAAAGACACACCAAAACCTTACTGCAAAATTGAATCTCCCCAGTTCGAAAGGAGTACCACCTAACACTTCTAAAAACTCCTTTCAGATAAATGCTTTATTCCTTATGTCCCATTATGCGGGAAAAAAGACTCCACTTTACAAGATGAAAGAGTAGGGTTATCTATCAAGTAAACAAAGACTTTCTCGAGACTTTAAAGTTCTCCCTTGGCAGGGCCTTGCGTGTATCTATATCCAAGAATAATATTACATTGGATTGGAGACTGATTTTCCCCAAATGTAATTTAACATCACATTGGAGATGCTCTTACTAATATAATATCATAACATATTATGATCCAATCCAGTCAACAAAACCATAGATTAGAGAACATCATACTTCCATCTTATATTAAAAAATAAAAAAATAAAAGTAATATCATACCTCTAGCCTCAAAGTCTTTGATCTTAAGAGGTCATGAGCAGACTGAAGAGAAGAAGCACCAAGATCTTGGAAGCCTTGCTTTACTGCTTGCATTGTGTAAGGTATGAACTTCAAAACAGAACCTTTATCAGCAACCTTCCCAACAACCCCTTGAGCAATTTTTAGTTTGGCTTTGTCACCCAAGTATCTTGCATCACTCCCTTTTGTCATTGCTTCAAGAGAGCCCATGCCTCTATATTTTTTGACCCGGCAACCATTCTGGTCATTCAAATATCTTGGTTAAATATTACTGACCATGGTATACGCCACGTAAGTATGAAGCAAAAATAAAATAAATAATAGTTCTAAGCGGTGAATAGAGAAAATGTTTCGATAACCAAAATTGTAAACCACACTAATAAACCATAACAGCATATATAGTATAAATCACGACTCACAAGATTTCTATTACTCTGAAAATAAAGATAGATTCCATAAAACCAAGAATATTATATTAGAAATTTTAAACAAGGTTATGATAAGTTAAGAACTACGAAACATACAGCAAAAGAAAACAAGATTGTTTATTAGAAGCATTGACAGAAAAAAATGCGGACACGGTGAATAACTTTCATGTCTCAAAACTAGACTTCAGATGGACACTTGTAGAAAGATAACAAGAAATAGAAATTTGTGAACTAATAGTGTATATGATTCGAAACTAAAACTAACATGTTTACCAATTTATCATACCTGATACTCGTAAGTTCCCGGAGCCTCAGTGCTTCCAGCTAAAAAGCTTCCCATCATCACAGTGGATGCCCCTAGAGTCAAAGCCTTGACTATGTGCCCAGAGTTTGAAATACCACCATCAGCAATGACAGGAACACCATATTGTGAAGCAATAGATGCGACCTTGTAAACAGCAGTTGCCTGCAACGGTTGAAACAAAAAAACAAACTTGAGTATGTGATGGAGTAAAAACAACCAAACGAACAACGAAAGGCCTAGCAATACTTTTGACGGCAGCAGTATATCATCCAAATGAAAGGTTAAAAGCAACTTAAGATAAATTTATTAGTTAACTCAGATAGCATATCTTAAATAATGGAAGAAACTACAAAGAAATTTTTTCAAATTGCTATATACTAAAGGATTTGCTTGGGGGGGGGGGGGTGGGGGGAGACGAAAAGAT